AGGAATTACTAGTACTGTGAAAACGGACAGAGGGACTATATAGAAGTAAAATTACTACAGTTAGAAACACAGTTCTCTAATGTAACATCACTTTGCAATAACTCCTTTCACTAATAGTTTGTACCAATAGAATCTGCTTGAGGGAAATTGGAGGCTATTAAGAGGAGTCAATGAACTGAGAGAGTCACAACAATGTCTTGTTCACCATTCCATTAGCTTCCGTTGCACTACTAAAACCAGGTACACAAAGAAATGATTAATAAGCATAAATTTACCTGGTTATATGTCTGCTTTCAAATACTGTAAAAATGTACAGAGAGACTACTACTAAATTAAGTCGAGAACCAAATAAACTCAAACATATTAAACTATATAGAAGTGAATTACTACAATTAGAGACACAGTCCTCTAATGTGACATTACTTTATCATAACTCTTTTCACTAATAGCTTGTACCAATAGAATGTGCTTGAAGAAAATTGGTGGCTATTGAGAGTAGCCAAGGAACTGAAAGAGTCACAACGATATCTTGTTTACCATTCCATTAGCTTCTATTGTACTACTAAAACCACATATACAAGCAAAGGATTGATTAACATGAATTCACATGGTTGTATGCCAGCCTTCAAATACTGTAAACCATATAGAGGGACTACTACGAAAATCGAGAACCAAATGAACTCAAATATATGAACTATATAGAACCGAAATTAATACAGTTAGAAACAAATTTCTCTAATATGACATCACTTTCCAATAACTCTAGTTTATACCAATAGAAAGTTTTTTAGGGAAATTGGTGGCTATTTAGAGTAGCCAAGGAACTGAAGGGTCACAACAACATCTTGGTCACCATTCCATTAGCTTCTACTGCACTACTAAAACTACACACACAAGCAAAGACTTGATAAGCATGAATTCACATGGTTGTATGCCTGTCTTGAAATACTGTAAAAACGTCCAGAGGGAGTACTACTGAAGTGGATAACCAAATAACTCCAAGATATGAACTATATAGAAATGAAATTACTACAATTAATAATATAGTCCTCTAATGTCACATCACTTTGCAATAACTCCTTTCACCAATGGTTTGTGCCAACATAATGTGCTTGAGAGAAATTGGTGGCTGTTGAGAGTAACTAATGATCTGTTGGAGTGACAATAATATCTTGTTCTCCATTCCATTAGCTTCCATTGCATTACTACACAGAATTATTTAACAAACCCTCTCCATACGAATACTTGGGCGCTGTATCAGAGGAAAGCCCTTCATCAGTCGGCTGAGCGGCTGCCAGAAAACCCAAGGGAGGCAATTATTGACAGTTACCGCCTGCCACCTCACCAATACTTCCTGCTATCATAATTGAGCGAATGTTGCCGGACCTAATCTGAGCTGGAAAATCAAGAATTCTTAGCGAACATGTCGATTCTACTCTGACAGACACAACGAATGGATAATGATCAGGGGATTAGTATCTTGCACATAAAGGGATTCCCTGAAGCAGGCGCACAATTAACTCTAAACCCCTTTCTTGTAAAATTTCTCCATAACTTTTATTATTTTCAAGCTCTGCTTTTTTGCTCTTCTCTCTCCTGATGTGCTAATGGCTGACATGCCTATAAATAAAACTACTAAATAGCTAATGGACTCAATACGATAATGGGCCGAAGACTTGCAAAAACAGTGTCATTCCCAATTATATTTCATTTCACTACATATCATTTTTATTTAAATTTGTACATATAAATAAAAAAACGAATAATACATAGTTCTATGAGAGAATATAGGAATAGTAAAAAAAAATTACTAGAATGACAGTGATTTCTGATGGTGAAATATAAAAACAAACCATCTAAAATATATGATGAATAATTTAGACCAAGAAGAGTAAAAAGTGGCAGTATAAAAACTTGGTGCAGTAAACTCTTAGCACCAACTATCAATATTAGAAAATACGGTTACCAAAAAAAAAAGAGTTTACGAGAATCCATCTCATGTTGTCATTTGACATAGTAACGTCATACAAAATTGGAAAAAAAAAATTTACTTGAAATATTCAACTTATAAATTTGATTACAAATAGTTTTATTACTAAAGGTTTCTTTTCCAAGTTATCTTTTTGCATTAATGAAAAGAGTATTCAAAGACTAACATGTAGTCGCAAGTCATTACTTTTGTCTTTGTTTCACTTTTGTTTTATTCTAAAAATTGTCTTCATTAGTGATGAAACAAATAACTATTATCATAATCATGACAATATAATTAGAAATTCACCGGTAGTGAATTCTAGAATACAAAACATATGTTTCTTTATTGTTTTGTTAGTCATTTACTAGTTTTACTCTTCATTATGTATTAGATTAAAGTTGAACAGATTTCATTATCCCAATTAAGTGATTTTAACAATATGAATTAGTAGGAGAACTCTATGTATTGAATTGTTCTACCATTTTATATAGTGTTTTACACAATATGCTAAAATACAATAAAAATTAATGACACTTTAAATAATTTTCTCACACAAAAAAAGTTATGGTGAAAATTTGGAAAGACACAATCATTCAATACATAATCAAAACATGAAAAAAATAAAATGAAAGTGTATATATTGCGCGTGGGCTTCGTTGTCCACCATAATATGCCTACGAAAACCTTGATGCAAGAACTTTGTTAAGAGTTAGCATTTGAAAAAACCGAATTCTGTACAATTTGTTAAAAATATTCTTTTTCAACTATTTTGATGATATTTACTATGGATATAGTCAACACAATAAGTTTTCTTTTCTTAATTATTACTTCTATTTTATATTATTCGGACCATATATGTATTAGTACATATCTTGCTCGAAAGTATACCTATAATATTAAAACATATTTTGAAATAAAACTGGTGTTCCATGAAAATGCTGAAGTGAAGCATATCATTTCTAACAATTTTTTTGTTGTTGTTGTTTTAGCACTGATTATAAGTTGTAAAATTGGATTAAATAGATAAATATACGAATGTATTTTGAAACTCTGTTTTTGTATTTTCAAATAAGATTCTTAATTCAATTTGTTCCTAGTTTACTGGTTCCACATAAAAAAATATATTTAATTCTCCAAAATTCTTAAATAATACACCTTGTGAAAAAGCATAAGTAATATTTTTTCATTTTTATTATTATCTATAAACATTGAATAATCTTTTACGTATCTTTTAGATAATTTTTTTTTCTATTTTTCTAATAAGACTTCTTTTTATTTCTTGATGACAAAAAATTTTCATATCAGTCGTCATACCTAATATTCAAAAGTGACAACTTTTGTTGATTCTTACATTAAAAACTTGAGAAATTGATAAATATCCAAATAAACATAGACAAAGACGATAAAATGCCCCCTTCTTTTGAAATAAAAGAAACTCATTTTGCGGAACTAAAAAAGTACTCTTTACATTAAAAAAAAAAAAGTTAGTTCAATTTGAATTTGGATATTTGTAAAATTTTTATTATGAATCTCAAAAATATAAGTTGATTATTTATTTATTTATTTTTGAACATATTATTTTATCGAATACTAGGATCAATATTGTGTATTAGATTAAAGTTGAATTGATTTCTTTATCTCAATTAAGTGATTTTAATAATATGAAGCAGTGGGAGAACTCTATGTATTGAATTGTTCTACCATTTGATTTTGTGTTTTACAAAATATGCTAAACTACTATAAAAATCAATGAAACTTCAAATTATTTTTTCTTACAAAAAAAACTTAGGGCAAAAAATTAGAAAGCACAATCTTTAAATGCATAATAAAAAAACGTAAATAAAATAAAATAAAATTGTATATATCGTTGATCGACTTTGTTGTCAAAGACAATAGGTTAACAAAAACTTTGGCGCAAGAACTTTGTTAAGAGTTCGCATTTAGAAAACCCGAATTCTTTACAGTTTGCAAAAAAATATTGTTTTTTCATTTATTTTGAGGATGTTTGCAAAACTGATAAATATAGTTAACATAGTAAGTTTTGTTTTCTTAATTACTAACGTAATTTAATATTATTTGGACTACAAATATGTACTAGTACATATCTTGCTGGAAATTTCAAAAGTAAACTAAAATAAAACATATTTTGAATATATAAATGATGTTCTATCAAAATTCAAAGGAAAAATGAAAAGCAAGACTGAAGTATCTCCTATTAGTTGACCTTTAGATTTTCTTCAGTAGTGAAGCAATTTCCAAATCATTAAAATTTCTATTTTGATGTGGTTTATCTCCAATGCTCAACTCTATTTTGTGCAGCAACACCCAATAAAACTTAAAAGTAAAAGAAAAAGGAAAAGTTAAGAAAGGTAAAAGAAACAACGTCAGTGGGACACCCCATTTGCCGCATATACAGCATAAGCAGCAAATTTGGTGATCTATTGTAGCAAAAGCAGCACTTTACTTTTTGTTTTTGCTGTTTTGCTGCTACATTGGAGCAGAAATACATCAATTTCTCCAACAACTTACTGAATTGGTGCAACATTGGGGATGCTCATCTTCAGTGTTAAAGCAATTTGTTGCACACCAAATCATCAAAATTGCTATTTTGATGTAGTTCATCTCCAACCCTCAACTCTATTTTGTGCAGCAAATCACCCAATAAAACTCAAAAAATAAAAGAAAAAAAGAAAAGTCAAGAAAGGTAAAAGAAACAACATCAGTGGAACACCTCATTTGCTGCATCTACAGTATAGCAGCAAATTTGGTGATCTACTGTAGCAAAAGCAACACTTTGCTATTTGTTTTTGCTGTTTTGCTGCTACATTGGAGCAGAAATACATCAAATTCTCTAGCAACTTGCTGAATTAATGCAACATTAGGGATGCTCATCCTCAATGTGTTGAAGCAATTTGTTGTGCACCAAATCATCAAAATTCTATTTTGATGTAGTTCATCTCCAACCCTCAACTTTATTTTGTAGAACAAATTACCCAATAAAATCAAAAAAAAAAAGAAAAAAAGTCATCAAAGGTAAAAGAAACAACGTTAGGGGACACCCCATTGCTGCATCTACAGCATAGTATCAAATTTGGTGATGTACTGTAGCAAAATCAACACTTTACTTTTTGTTTTTTCTGTTTTGCTGCTATATTGGAGTAGAAATACATCAAATTCTCCAACAATTTGCTGAATTGGTGCAACATTGGGGATTCTCTTAGTTGACCAAATAATGGGTTTTGCTTCTACATCCTAAATTATGACAATGCAAGCTCTATGGTATCTCTGTGCAGCTGCCTTTAGGCACTTTAAATTCTTATTTTTTGAGAAATTACTTGCTTACACAAGTATTGTGGAATCATGTCGAAATTTATTTGGTCTCCCAAAATTCATCGATGATTGGAAAACACACGGAAAAACAACACATACACTCTTATAATCGAAGATTTAAGTCGAGCTGTTTTGGAGAATCATTGGTAGCAGCTTGTAAGCTCCCGGGCCACATCACCATTGACTCGTGACTCATGACATTAACGGGTATTCTTACGTTGTTGTTGTTGTTGTTGTTGTGGTTGTTCCAACTGAATCTGGCAGCCGAGGTAATTACTCCACCTTTGCTAGGTTTATGTACTGTAAGAGCATGGGCCTGCAGGCCTAAAGATATTGCTGCGGCTGATGATGAAACTGAAGAACTATTCATGAAAGGATGATCATTCGGCAACATCATGATATTCCGAGATTGTTGATGATGATACCTTTTGAATTGCCTTCTTTCGATCTTGTGTGCATTTTGATGGCCTCCCAACGCTTGTGAACGGCAAAACTTCCTCGTACAATAATTGCACGAGTACAGCTTGCCATTGCTCAAAGGATGCTGCGGACCTTCCGATGTTTCTGTAACTATCATAGCAGATTCCTCTGAGTTTAGGCTTAAACTCAACCATTCATCATGATCACTGGCTCTGGATCCAGATTCTTGAATCTTGTTAGCTAACGAAGTTGATTCTTCCTGCATCGGAAATACCATTTTTCCAAACATAAAAGAAAAGGTTATGTGGAATTTCTGAATCGCAGGGCAGCCGTGGGGCTTAAGTAGATGCAATCCATTAAGTTTAGAGGACAGAGAGGGAGTAATCAGAAATGCACCAAGAGCGTAACGACAGGGCCATATTTTAAATTGCCATCCTGTCCTTGTCCTGCCGTGTTTGCAACCAATCAATGATGATGATTTGTAAAGCGTAGAGCTATTGTGCCAATTTCCTGCAATTGGCCAATGTTAAGTTTCGGATTCGCTATTTATCTCCTCCAAAGCTTTCCTTTATTATTATTATTATTATTATTATTATTATTGCAGTTTAGTGGCAGCGGCACCATCAGGCATCACCTTATGATTCATTATTCTGCTAAAGATGGCTATTCGTGGTTCTCATTAGTTGCCACCACAAGGTAATTTATTATTTCCAGTATGGCTTTTACATGGTTCCATAACATCAGAATTAGATATTAGAATACACTGATTTTGAAGAATCGAACCACATATCTAACTAATTCAACGAGCACTCAAGATGAATCACCCGAAGTAGAGGCAAATTTTAGATTTGTGGTCAGTATACATGACGATGAATGTTTCTCCAAGACTCATCACAGTCCCAACTCTCAAGGAATAACTTCAACTTCCGTTGTAAAAGTTACTGATGCGAAAACTTCTACATGGAGAGATTTTAAAGAGAATTCATAATGGTGATTGGCCAAGAAGAGCAACTGGGAGTGCAAGCTAAAAGCGTACATCCCATAATCTGGTGTTCCCAAAAATTATATTCCGAGTATCCACTTCTAAAATTTTTTGCAGGACCGGTCAGTGTCAACTTAAAAAGAAACAAATCTTTGGTGTCCAATAACTAACAAAATTGTAAGGTCCCCTGAAGCACTAGCCAAAAATAGACTCCATTTGGACAAGAGTTTTGAAAAGTGTTCAAAAAAGTCTACTTGAAACAAAAGTTGAAAAAGTAATTTTTAGAAAATAATGCATTTGGACAAGAATTTTTCAAAACCCTTTTACAAATTAAAAATAACACGTTGTCTAAATATTTATATATTAAAAGATATAATCATTTGAAAAAATAAGATAAAACTGAAAATAAATAAAAATTAAAAAGAAAAGTGGGGCTGACAACAAAACGAGGAGTGAGGAAAAGATGAGAAGGGAGGGGAACCGCGCATCGCGCACCTCTTTTTTTTTTTTTTTTTTAATCTTTTTAATGATATTCATGACTTGATTTTTTATAACCAGACCCGAATTACGATCCACGAACGGAACTAAAAAGACTGTTTCAAAAAATTAAAAAATACCCCCCTATCTATTTTCTAAAAAGTCTATTTCAAACCTTCTTTTTTTTCAAATTGATGTTTAGAAAAGACTTAATTATTTTGTCCAAACGCATTTTAAACTCTAAACAGACTTTTTAGCCTTAAAAGTCTTTTTAAAACTCTTGTCCAAATGGAGCCCAATTTTTTCAAAAGAGTATGTTGGTAAAGATAGGCAAAGCTTTACTTCTGATGAAGCTTCTCTGAGATAAACTATAATATTGTACTAATGGGAAAATGAGTCATAACTAATCATCCCCATCTTTTCCATTTATTTCCTCTCAAGCAAAACTCTGCAAGCAACTGCTGCCATGTAAGAAAGCTGTGTAATACCGAAAAGGTTGATTAACAGAGACAAATCACAAATCCCATGTCCATTTGATAACCTTCATTACTCACGAAAGGTAATCAGGCATTCCTAATTAATGTTCTCAAACTTTTATACACTTGATCTGGATGATAGAAGAGTTCACCCTTCTAGATTTCCAATCATGTGAAGCAAATGGAGGTAATTTATTGTGGCAACAACAACTATAACTGTATTGACAATCAATCCCCATAAAAAGTCAAAAACTGAATCCCAAGAAAGCAAATCAGTCATTACAAAATATAGAAAAGAGGACGCAGTTTCTTGGGAGGTCATTTAGGAATTAGAATAGACAGTTTCAGGGAGTGGGGAAGGACTTTCTACTCTAGGAAAAAAAAAAAAAAGGATTTTGGCAACATAATACAAAGCTAGTAGCTTTGCTCTCCCGTGAAAAGGCACCCACCAATAAACTCCAACGGATCATAGTCAGCATATTGCATGCTTGCAATAATACTCAAACTTTTCAAGTACCTACAATTCAAACAGGACTAACTATCATAACGATGAAAACTCAGACTAAACAGCAAACTCGGCACCTAAAATATTCCAATCATGCAAGAAAAACCAGAAAATCAAAACCAGAGTTGCATCTTCTTTCTTTAGGAACCTTTTTGAAAATCAAATTCTGATACAGACAAACACCAGAAACAGGCTAGACAGATGATGCTTGCAAACACAAAATCACATCCAAAGGGAGGAAAAAAAAAACGACGCACAGTATGCAGCAAACAGTTTTACAAGGTGTCCAAAAAAAACATCTGCATAGATGAGAAAAAAAAAAAACAAGAATTAAGATTGCACCTAACCATTACACCAAGATATGAATGAAGGGTAATTCGAAGTTCATAGTGTCACATAAGAATTCAACAATGTGATTCGCATTTGCATCCTTAATTATAAGTTCATAGTGATTTTGGACATCAAATATTAAATTCACAGCTTGATTAGCTGTTATATCCCACTCAACCATGGCGACAACTGCTTTTCGATCACATCTTAATTTTAAACATTCAAAAGTCAAAACCAATGCAGTGTATTTTAGACCATCCAATGTCACGCATTGTTATTAACAAGCAGAGCTACTAACCAAATCTATATGCACAATTAAGAGCAAATGCATAACAATAACAAACAGAGCTCCTATCAAACCAAACAAATTTAAGAACTTCGAGACAGAAAATATCAAAGTCAATCAAATAAAAAGTACAAACATTGAGTTGAGGCATAAACCAAAAAAGTGCTACAGAAAAGCGTACCCTGAGACAACTCGCAGCACGCACGCGCCTCAGCAGAAAGATGTGACGTCAATCTAGAGGCCGCCACAACGCTATGCAGAGGTAGAAGCGATTGAGTGCAACCCAGAACTCCACTGTTCCTGAATTAGCCCCCCAAAAAAAAGGAAATCAAAATTGAAGTTAGAGAGAGAAATGAAATGCAAAATTTATGAGTGTTCGAAGTTAAAAATGACAGGAAATGAGAACGAAACCTGAGAATGGTAGCTGAGAAAAGGCGGCGGGAAGTAGCGGTTTGGTTGCCGAAAAGAGTCGACGGAGCAGGACGGGCGCCGGAAAGTGGTACGGATGAGGAAGCGCGTGGGCTCGGAGCTCTCCTCGCATTAGAAAGGAGAGTCCTTGACAGAGATCCGCTGCGCCAAGCCATTTTTTCCGATTCTGTGTTTTTTCTGTGTGTGTGTTTTTTTTTTTAATTCCTTCCTTTCAGGGGTTTTCTAGGGTTTATGACCGGCATCGGTTTGCAGACGACGTCGTGGCATTCGGCAATAATGCCGGCCGATTTAAGCTCTATTTTAATGGGCCTTTTTAGCAATGTTGTAGTATGGCCCAAAGTTATACTACAAAATAAGGCCTTATGGCCCAAACTAAATTGTCAATTCTCTTCTCTACAATTAGAGATTTCGCTTTAGATGCCTCTTTGGCTGTTTCCTCTAAGCTACATTGTATCATCAAATTAATAATGCAACAGAGGATCGACGAATAAAATTGTTATAATAATCGTAGTACAGCTAGCATCTGTGTTTTGATTGATTCTCTAAGTCAATACATCACACAAGGTGCAACAGATTTCCTTCCATCTATCAATGGAGTTCATCACATTGCTCATCACTTTCCTGCTATTGGGCTCCATGTTAGTGAAAATTCTCACACAATTTAATCGAGAAAAACACCCAGAAGTGAATCTTCCTCCAGGGCCTAAGCCACTGCCGATCATAGGTAACATTCATCAACTCGCTGGATCTCCATTTCTGCATCGTTTGTTGAGGGACTTGGCCCATAAATATGGTCCTTTAATGCACCTGAAGGTGGGTGAAACTCCAACCATCATTGTAACCTCACCAGAAATGGCCAAGGAAATTTACAGAACAAACGATCTCCTGTTTTCTTCGAGACCCCCTATTCTTCAGTTCAAGATTTTTTCTTACAATTTCGTTGGGCTCATTTTTAGCCCATATGGTAATCATTGGAAGCAATTACGCAAACTATGCACCGTGGAACTTCTAAGTCCAAGCAGAGTCCAAACCTTCAGATCGATAAAAGAAGATGAGGTCTTCAAACTCATGGAATCTATTTCTTCCCAGGAGGGATCGATTGTCAATCTCACTAAAGCTGTCTCCATTCTGTCTTATTCCATCACTGGCCGTGCTGCATTAGGGAAAAAGAATGAACAAACGCAGAGATATATGGATATTGTGATTGAAATGAATCGCCTGGCATCTGAGTTTTCCTTGGCTGATTTGTATCCTTCTGTCAAGCTTTTTCAAGTTTTCAACACCAAGAGATACAAGCTGGAGAGAGGACATAAGCAAATTGATGAGATTATTGGAAACATCCTCAATGAACACAAACAGAGAATTGAAGAGGGAAAAGGGGAAGATGCAAAGGAAAATCTTGTTCAAGTTCTCATCAACATTCAAAGACGAAATGATTTCGAACCTGAACTAACCGACGAATGCATCAAAGCAGTAATCTTTGTAAGTTCACAAACTCAGCAGCTCGTTAGTTTTACATGTAGGCTAATTATTCAGTGTAGTTTTGATCTTAGCAACACTTTGGTGTAGAAATTTCATAAAATGTTAATTGCTTATGGGACTAAAGAGTTAACAACCTCTGTCCAATTTTATTATGTTAGGATATTTTCACAGCTGGGAGTGAAACATCAGCAATACTTCTGGAATGGGCATTTGCTGAGATTATTAGAAATCCAGAAGTATTGAAAAGGGCTCAAGATGAGGCCAGAAGTGTTTTCAGTGAGGTGGGAAACGTTGACGAATCACGCCTTCATGAGCTCAAATACTTGCATGCCATATATAAAGAATCCCTGAGACTCCACCCCAGTGCTCCACTGTTGTTGCCTAGAATATGTGGCGAAAAATGCGAAATAAATGGCTATGAAATACCCAAACACGCAACGGTTATTGTTAATGCATGGGCGATTGGGAGAGATCCGGCGCATTGGACTGAAGCCGAGAAATTTGATCCTGACAGATTTTTGAACTCTGAAGTTGATTACAAGGGAACTGATTTCGAGTACATTCCATTTGGCGCTGGGAGAAGGATATGTCCTGGAATTTCATTTGCGCAACCCTCTAATGAGCTGATACTTGCACAACTGTTGTTCCATTTTGATTGGCAGCTTCCAGGTGGATTGAAAAATGAAGAACTGGATATGAATGAGAACTTGGGGTTGACAGTCAAGCGACTAAATGATCTTCTCCTGATCCCATCTCTGTACCAACATTCTTGTTTGAGAAAAGTCCACTGAGATTATCAACACATAATGCCGGCATACTTTCTGTCAATTCTCGTATTTTCCATTCCTTTGTATCTTGAATTACCAGCATTAACAACTTTCTTAGCAGTAAAATAGAGTAGTTCTTGTTTCAATTGTAGTCATGAGTAATTACCCCTTTTCTGATTAAATTATACTCCAGTTGATGGCAAATATTTAGATGAATAATAAAACAACCCATCCCAGCAGTCATATGGGACCCGCCAAATAAAATGTAAGTTGACGTCCAAACAAGCACATAGTAACTCATCTCTACGGATGGTGGCCTCTGTATATAATTGATCTGCTTTCTTCTCAAAGTCAACACATCACAAACAGGCTGCTGCAAATCTGCAATGGAGTTCATTGCATTCCTCATCACTTTCCTGCTCTTCTCTCTTATGGCAGTGAAGATCCTCACTGAATTCAAAAGAAAACTCCCAAAATTGAAGCTTCCTCCAAGGTCTAAGCCGCTGCCCATCATAGGAAACATTCATCAGCTAACTGGATCTCCATTTCTCCATCGTTTGCTGAGGGATTTGGCTAAAAATTATGATCCTCTGATGCACTTAAAAGTTGGGTGAAACTTCAACTATCGTTGTAACTTCAGCAGAAATGGCTAAGGAGATTTACAAAACGCACGACCTGCTTGTTTGCTTCCAGACCCTCTAAAAATCTCACGTTCAAGATTTTCTCTTACAATTTTGTCGACCTCGTTTTCAGTCCATATGGGAATCACTGGAAGCAATTACGAAAACTTTGCAACACAGAACTGTTGAGTTCAAGCAGAGTCCAGTCGTTCAAATCAATCAGACAGGAAAGGTGTTCAAACTCATGGAATCTCTTTCTTCTAGAAAGGGATCTGTTCTGAATCACCAAAGCCATCACCTCTGCCTCTTTTGCTATTGTCGAGGGTGAAATCCGTTAGGACGAGGGTCAACGGTGTCTATGGACTGCAAAACAAGGGTTAGCACTCCGACGAGCAAGTCAGTGTCAAGAGTGAATGTATAAAATGTGAACCAAGAAGGGAGTAATAAAATGAGCTTAGTCTGCACCACCAAAAATGGGGTATATATAGATAAGGTGATGGGAATATTCCCTGAGAATATTCTTTTCTCAAGATGGGCATGGGTCATTGTTAAGGCATTAGTCGGCCTAATTAGCTATGAAGGAATATTTTCAGTGTCTTGAGTGGTTATCGGCCCAAGTAAAGTTGCACCCTCCAACAGCTATCACCGACAGAGCTGCGTTTGGGAAAATCAATGAGCGTACAGATAAGTACATTGAGGTTTTACTTGAAATGAATCATTTGGCATCTGGGTTCTCATTGGCTGATTTATATCCTTCCGTCAAACTCCTGCAAGTGTTGAATCCCACAAGGCATAAGATGGAGAGAGGACAGAAGCAAATTGATGAAATTTTTGGAAGCATTCTCAAAGAACATAAGCAGAAAGTGAAACCGGCAAGTGGGGAATCAAGTGAAGATCTCATTGATGTTCTAGTCGGCATTCAACAACGAAAGGACTTCCAACCTCAATTGACCAACGAATGCATCAAAGCAGTAATCTTTGTAAGAACATAACTCAGCAACTCCTCTGTCTCTTTACATAATTCTGATATTATTTGTATGCATGCTTATTCTCCACGAGGATTTACCAGTAGACTATGATGTTTGCTTGTGCATATCAGATGTATACTTATAAGGATTTTGTGAATACTTAAATTCATTCATTTGATGCAATTTGTTAGGATATTTTTACTGCTGGAAGTGAGACATCAGCGATAGTTATAGAATGGGCGTTGGCTGAAATGATTAAAAACCCTGAAGTTATGGAAAGGGCACAACATGAGAGCAGCCTTCAGAGAATTAGGAAATGTTGATGAATCAGGCCTTCAGGAACTCAAATACTTGGATGCCATACATAAAGAAGCCCTGAGACTTCATCCAAGTGCTCCATTGTTACTGCCTAGAGTATGTGGTGAAAATTGTGAAATAGGTGGCTACGACATACCAAAAAAATGCAACATTTCTTGTTAACGCTTGGGCCAATGGAAGAGATACTGTACAACATATTGGGATGAAGCCGAGAAATTTCATCCCGACAGATTTTTGAACTCTGAAGTTGATTACAAGGGGAATGATTTTGAGAACATCCCATTTGGTGCGGGGAGAAGAATTTGTCCAGGAATTTCATTCGCTCAACCAACTATTAAGCTGCTATTAGCACAGCTTTTGTTCCATTTCGATTGGCAGCTCCCGGGTGGGTTGAAGAAAGAAGACCTACACATGAACGAAGAACCGGGCTTATCAGTCAAGCGACAAAACGATCTGCTCTTGATTCCAGCTTTATACAGCCATTCATGTTTGAGAGAAGGCAACTGAATAGGGAAATTCGTCAAAATTTCCTATATTGTCATGTTTTAACTTTGTCTCTATCCAAAATTGTTCCTTCTTGGCATTTTTTAGTGATGAACTTTTCTACACAGGTCATCTGCCTTTTAGAGCTAAATCTTAATTGAGCTCAGATTGAACCAAATTCCGATTGGACCCATCCGCCCATTTAACTTATAGACATGCACATCATGCCCCAATTACCCAACTATTTGTTCTAAGGCTCACCAATAGCAGTTAAATTGGTTAGGCATGCACTTTTGGTTCTCAAAGCATTAGGCAGCTGCTGTTAAGTGTGATTTACCAGTAATCACTGCACTCTAATTCTCGTTTATCATATGCACAGCAAGATGAGGGACCAAGTTACCATACTACATATGCTACTCCATGCGTCCAGTTAAGTATTCCATAAAGAAGAAAGAAAAATGTATGCTACTAAAGAGTCTTCATGGGATAACTATTTAGTTCGTATCATGTGATTCATATTGATTTTTCGAAAAGGTTGAAAACAACTCATCAAAGTATCCTGGCAAAACAGCTAAGAAGGATGCAACATTTCCATCCTAGCTATCTAATTCTCATTTCTCAAGTACAGCACCTCTACAAGTCATCGGATTGATCTCCTTTCCTGTTGTATTTTGTTCTGTTCTATCCAAAAGTAAACTCGCAAAACTAATGAAGAAACTATGGAAATGAATAAGGTCAACAAATTCTCAAACCTGGGACATTCTTAATGACTGATGAAGTGATGATGATCCCAATCAAACCTTGAAATGGAATAATTAAGTTCATCAGAATCAGACAAAAAGGGTCAGTGTTAGTGCTCCAAAGTCAGCTCATTCTTGGTTAATACTTCGATCCCTGATTCTTAGCATCACCCCTTCAACAGCTATATCAAATGCATCTCTGATATTTTCCTCACCGTCCACAGGCAAAGTATAGAGCAGCCGAGGTATTAAGTTAGTCACCCTTTCTCTCATCATCTGAATTTCTTCAACCCCATAGCCTTCCAAGATCTTCCTGATAGAAGTACCATTCCTAACAGCTTTCTCATCTATAAACACCGAGAAACGCTCCGGATCATCCTTAAAGAACCAATCGTAATGTCCGTATATACTTTTCTTCCAGAAAAACACCGGTATTGATCCAGCTAACATGCAATCAAACGTGGATTTCCTGGTATAAGAATCCCCTCTGGGCTGCAAACAAAAGTTGGAGTCCAAGAACGCTTCAAGAATTGCAGGGGTACCTTCATTACACGGCGTCTTGGAATTGGTACAGTCAACGAGCTTGCAAGAATCGGATTCCCTCTGGCAGTAATCAAGTAACAGAGCCCGGAAATCATTCTTGATCAGTTCCCGCTTTCCACCCACAAACGTGAAAAGATTTGACCGGTTTCGAGTCCGCACAAACTTGAGCCATTTCTCGACTTCCGTCTGGCTTTTTGGATGAAATCCCGTGGGGTAAGGCACGCCGAAATCCATCCGGTCCCAGAGATTCCCTTCAATCGCGAGCCGCGAAACCCGCCTCATCTGGGGCATGAGAAGGAAGCTAGAACCCCAATTTTCGCCGGCTTCCCGCCGGAAATCCCAAGACGTTCTCCCCAGCATGATAAAATGATCTGCGCCGTTGGATCTTCTCCAAGTGGGTTGCTTCATAACCCATCTGAGCAAACTCTGGCACTGAGAATCTCGTTCCACTGCAGTGTGGTTACCGTACAAATACTTGGCAATTGCTAATCCGGCATAAAACGGAATGTAAAAAGCGGTGGCCGATTTAGGGTCTTTAGTCCTGCACTTGTACCTTAGGATTCTAGAGTGGTACATAACTTCTCCGGCAAAAATGTCAGTCCAATACCAGGCCGTAGTAAGCTCCGGCGGAACAATCCCATCTAGGCCGGTGGCTTGTGGGCCAAACCCATCGTTGATAAAAGCATTGCACCGGGAATTCCACGGATCTAACTCTTGGCAACTCTCAACAATCTTCTTGTTGAAAATCGAAGGGACATCGTAGACATAGACAGTGCCGTACTTGCAGTGCTGTTGAGATAGGTGGTTCCCCCGCTGCTGTAGCCGGCGGTAGGATTGGTAATGCTTAGGAGCGGTGGTGAGGATGAGGAGGATGAGGATTGGGAGGAGAAGAGTAAGAAATAGCAATAGACGGCGGTTTTTGGGTTTGTCAATAAAATGGCGTTTGGCCGTCGAGAATTTGGATACAAAAGGATGCAGCGTCTTCATAATTTTTTCCACGGTGGTGGATGGACGGACTGGAAGCGGAGCTTCTTTTTCTTTTGCTTTTTATTTTTCTGCGGCGCTGCCTAATAGGTAAATGCCCTTGTTTACGGCGATTATTGTGGGAATTTTCAGAAATTAGAAGCACGCTTATTAGTGCTGCCCGGGTCGTCAACCGTCAAATTGTGTAATTAAAAATTGCAAGGAGCTATCATAGCCGGGGAAAAGAATAAAGAAAAACACACTCAAAAAAGGAAAGATAATAAGAGGACGACGGGAAAACCATTGTTTAGGTTAGTTTTTGGAATGCGTTTGAGTCGTGGTCTTGTCGTGGTGGGTCTTGGGTCGCATGAATGAGAAACTTCCTGAAAGAGGTCCACAAATCGAGTTTGGGGTCATTCACTTCATAGCCGGGAATCAAGCAATTCCAAGGAAAACTATGTACTTCGTATGTCCGTTCCAAAATTATTATATAATTTGAGATATATAATTTAAATTAAAAATAAAATCTAAAATTAAATAATATTTATAGGACGGAGTGAGTATTATGAATTTGTTTAACCCAGAAATAATTAGATTGAATTTATGAGAAAGGTATCGCCTCAAATCTGAAAAGAAGTAAGTAATCGTAATTTATTAGTCCCAGTTGTAACACGTACTTATATGTATACAGTACAGCTATAGATGATCCATCCGGAGTCTGGACGTCTCTTATTTAAGTTTCAAAGCTAAGCACGTTGGTGATAACCGACCAATCGAGCAGTATACAACTGTGTCTGTATGTAAATTTGGTATCCACAAAGATTAACAGTAATGCGTCTCTGAAGTCTCATGTCTTTGTTGAGGTGGTAAAATATGATCAATAAAAACACTTACTTGAGTTAGGCCGAAAAGTGAAGCTTACCGATTGAGCACACTACTATCCGTAGATTAAAATAACAATACATCGAACTGCCATATCATTTGAACACCGACTGAATGATTTAGTGGTGGCCGGCTGTTGTCATTTAATTACCAGCGGTCGATATGTCAGTTTATCGGTGCCCAGAACGTGATCGGAATTTGTCCGCTATAGCCACAAAAAATATATATTCACTGCTGCTAACATTTTTCCCATTTATTACCAGCAAAATGCGACCAAATTCAGCAGAATTTGATATTGAACTCCAACCTCGATTAGTATATGGTACTAGTATATCCCAATGTGCATGTTTCGTAACACCTTATAAAGTGATACTTATTGACACTCGCATAAACTAATTAAGATAATACTACTACCAAAATAATGAAAGAATTTCCCATATAAATTTGGCTGAATCGAAAACTTAGGGGCAGAATCAGTCAAATTCAAATAAATTAGTCAACCTGATACTATTAAGGAGTACAATAATGCATGGGTTTTAAGTCGATAATTTACATTCTAACAATGGTACACTACTAGGTAGTTCTGCCATTCTAAACCAAACAAATAAATAATGTAACATTGTAACTTATGGTTTCCCCTTTCATTGAATTCATTACATAACACCTCAAACTTATATGACTTGCACTGAAAAAGAATGCGAACCAACAAAACATACAATGACCCTGTTAGCCGATGAGCACTTCTACAGTTTCACTGAAAACATGGACAAATGCAAATATGGAGTCCTGTATTTCACGTGGCGACATGCATGTTCAAGGAACTGTAAATTGCGCTACAACAAACATATAAACTTCTTTCAGTTTTATGAATGTAAACTTCTTCCAGTTACTTGAGAGGAAGTTCTAGTTTGTTCCTTCCACAAGTACAAATGCAACTCACAAACTGCAAATCAAATGCTGGGAACTAAAGCAAAACATAATGTAGTTAGGCGGTATATTTCACAATAATCGAGCAGAACTTCTTTATCATTAGATGAACATATAGATCCGAAAAATCAAAAATATACTGAAAGGGGATCAAGAGGATCAGGAATTTAACAACCATAGAATTTGGGAGCTTTTTTGCCATCAAATCTGAAACACCCTCCCAGATTCAGCCTCAAATTTTTAGGCTCTGGCGGGATAAACTTCATTAACCAACATAGCCAGCATTGATTTCTAACAAGGCTCAAAAAACGCTGCTCTGTACAAGATTTGGATCATTCTTGGTTAATTCTGGATTCCCTGAATCGTCGTAGGACGCCTTCCATGGCTATATCAAATGCGTCTCTAATCTCACCATCACTATCATAAGAAGTATACAAGAACCTGGAAACTAAGTTAGTGATCTTCTCCCTCATCATTTGAATCTCTTCAATGCCATAACCCTCCAACACTTTCTTAATTGAAGTCCCATTCCTCACCTGGCTCTCATCTATGAACACCGAGAACCGCTCCGGATCGTCCCTCAAGAACCAATCATACTGACCGTGAATGCTTCTTTTCCAAAAGAAAACCGGGATGGACCCAGCTAACATACAATCGAAAGTGGATTTCCTAGTGTAAGAATCACCCCTGGGCTGCAAACAGAATGTTGAGTCCAAAAATGCTCCCAACATCGCGGGATTCCCATCGGAGCAAAGATTTTCAGTAGCCATGCAGTCAATCACTTTACAAGAACGAGATTCATTCTCACATTGATCCAACAACAAAGACCTGAAATCGTCCTGGATCTTTGTCCTTTTCCCACCGACAAACGTGAACAGAGTTGAACGGTCACGAGTTCTAACATATTTCAGCCATTTTTCCAAATCAGATTTGGACTTGGGATGAAACCCAGTAGGATAAGGCACACCAACTTCGTATCTGTCCCAGGGGCTTCGTTCAATTGACAAACGCAGGGTCTGTCTCATGGGAGGCATTAGAAGAAAACTGGAGCCCCATTTTTTATCCGAATCCCTTCTAAAATCCCACGAAATTCTCCCCAACACAATGAAATGATCCGCACCTTTGGATCTCTTCCAACTGGGTTGGTTCGTCAGCCATTGAAGAAGCTGCACGAATTGCTCATCTCGCTTAGCAGCAGAGTAATTGCCGTACAAGTACTTAAGAGCGCCTAATCCGGCATAAACCGGGACATAAAACGCGGAAGCAGAATTCGGGTCGGAAGTCCGACACTTGTAATTCGAAACCTTTTTGTGGAAAATGACTTCCAAAGCAAACATATTAGTGGAATACCAAGCTGGTCTAAGCTCTTTGGGAACGATACCTTTAAGGCCGGTGGCTTTTGGGCCTAAACCCTGGTTAGAAAGAGGATTGCAGTAAGAATTACCTGGATCTATATCGTCGCAGTTGTCCAGTAACTTCTGGTTGAACATTGGAGGAAGGTCGTAGACATAAACTGTCCCGTAGGGACAAGACTTGTCAGTCCGGACGGGAGCCCGCTGAGTGAGGCGGCGGAAGGAAAGGTAGTGTTTTGGAGCACTGGTGAAGATGAGGATGATCAGAATGGGGAGGAGGAGAGCAACGAACAGCCATGCCCGACGGTTCTTGGGCTTGTCGAGAAAGCGCCGGGCGCCGGAGGAGAATTTATCGGCGGGTTGCATGGTCGGCGGCGGTCGGCGGTGGCGGAGAGTAAAAGTGGTGGGGGAAAAGCCAAGTAGAAAAATGCGCTGGATATGGGTGTAAGTGTGTAGTATTACCAGCTTATTTTAATCATTATTTGATGGGTGTGTCACAGCTTTCTGTGTATCGGGCTCCCGACAGGTGCTAAGCTGGAACATGTGGCCCCCGCCTCTGTTTGTAAAATAATGTGATGTGAACTCTGGAATTCCAAGGTTAATCACTTTTACTTTAGAGCTTACTTTCCTTTTATTTTTTCCCCATCGGTTGGTTTATTCTGGAAAAATATTATAACCATTTGCAAGTAATTTGGAACTTCTATAATAGAAATTAAAACTTTAGTAACTCTATGAGCGACGAAGGCAAATCTCGATAGCCGCGAGTCAACGGTCAACTAGGACAGAGACCTGTAAGACAAGGATTAACACTCCGATACCTAGTGAGAGAAATAAAATAAATACATATTTAGAGAGAGAATGAGGAGTGTGAATTCACTCTCTGAAATGAATGTCTTGAGGTATATATAATTCACTATTTAGAAAATGTCCAAAAAAATGATCCATGTGAGACCCATATAGAACCCATGTGTGTTTGGGCCATTGGTCCTGTCTTTAAGAGCCCAATGGGATCTTTAAATAGGTTATGATGGAAAATTGCTTCATCAACGAATAAACATGAAAGAGCAAAGCAAATGATTGATTTATTCTGGCTTTACTATTTGTTTTTATCTTTTGTTTATATTAATATCTCTTCTGGCCTTAATTATAAAAAAAATAGAAATTAAATTTAATATTAATTTGTGTTGTATAATTAAAATAAAAGGGTGTAAAACTGTAAAGAAACAAAAAGGGGAAAGGGATGAGATATCTTTGAAGTTTGAACAAAGGCAAAATTAGAACCAATTTTGAGGGCTATTGGAAAAGACAAGTAAAGGAGGCTCCCACAACTACCTAATACTACGTGAAACAAGGAAAATTAAACGCGCACCCACCGTCGTTAATAAAACTGTGGTGGTGTCGGTACGCGGTACAAAAGAAATAGGCGTGGAGGAAATGACAAACCGTATTTCCGGGGAGGAATGATAAGAATTACTACTCCTACTACGTATGTATTTGGTGAAAATGACTTTCATAAATTAATCAATTCGGTTTTTTATAATTGGAAATTAATCTAGTCCTCATTAGTCGTGTTGTCCACATTGGATTTCCTGTAATCGTCGGTCCTTCACAAAGGAAGGAGTGGAGGGGAGATACATTCTTTAATGCGGATCTCTTGAAAATATGACCAACAACGTTGAATCCCACTAGCCCAATATTTCTTTACCATAAATTAAAAATAATAATAATTCGAAAAAGAAAACCTAGCGCAATTTGGGGCGTGGGTGAACGCATAAATTGATGAAATAAAAAGGAAATTTTTCGGTTTCAGGGTAGTGTTAGGGTAGTATGGTAAATTCCATTAGTCATTACATAACTTTCTTTCTAACTCAGAAAGTGTTTCCGTTTGTCCAAGGACAAGGAGAGAAGTCGGTCCTTCTTCTGAGTTTCCGACCCCGGTAATTAGCGATCCACATCCACATCTTATTATCATCATTATTATAATTATAATTTATAATTATTTCGCTCCTGCCAAACCTCACGTTCTGTTTGTTTCTTCTTCCAATAATACTAATATATTCAAGTATTCAACTCCAGAGATCTACTTACTGCTGGTCTCTCTCCCTTCTGGTGTAGAAGCCTCTGCTTCCTTCTCTACTTTGTTTCCGCATTTTCTCTGGGCGGCAGCTTACCAGCTTTGGAGGTTAGTTCTTTTCACTTCTTTTCAAGTTCATGTCCTTTACGTTTGTGGTTAAAAGAAAAAAGAAAAAAAAAAGTGAATCTTTCCCTTCTTTGAAGCTCAAGATCGAATGTTGCTTTCTAGTTTGCTTTTGCCTATGTACTGATTCTGCTAAGCTATATTTGGTTCTTCCGATTTCTTAGTGGTACTGTTCGATTCCTTTGCTTTGCTGAATGGAAATCAATTCTGATATACTAGCTAGTTATCTAGTTATTCCGTTGACAGATTCCTTTTTATCAAATTGCTCTGTTTCTTCTTGAGCTGTTCCTGCTCTCCTTGATGATTTGATTCTAGAGAGTTATAATTAGTAATGTCTCCTTCTTTTTCCATTGTGATTAGTTCTTAATTTTGCATTTCTGGAGCAGCTTGCAAGTTGCAAACTTGCAATTAACCCCGTTAGTTAGGTAGGTAATAATTTCACCCCCGAGGTAGCTCAATTATGCAAATAATGATTTCTGCAAATATTAAGTTGAATGCTTATCGAGCGGCTGAGGTGAGTAATTATGGACTTGGGGGTTAGAAACTGAATTATAGAAACTGGGGAACTATTGTAGAGTGGTACAAGCAGATACATAATTGATCATAGAGGTTGTACAATTATAGGAGTATACGATTCGGTAAGATCTAATAATGTGTCTTACTACAGTACTACCCCAAACAAAGACGGGGAGACTATTTTAAATTGGTTGGCTTGAGAGATAAATTTTATAAGTTATCCTCTAGAGTCCTCTAGATTCACTCCATTGTTCAATTTTTCATTACTAGTCCCAAAGAACAATCCTGTACTGAATTTTGTCAATAGGTTAAAATGTGGTAGCCTATCTTTACATAATGCTCCTGTCATTAATAAATACTTATCAAAGCAAACTATGCTTATTTCTCACACTTCTCAATGTGCATATGATAGATCCACAGTTGTATTGTTTCCTCTTCTTTGTTTAAGATACTCTTGATGAGACTTCATTTCTTTCACCTGTGTTGTAAGATTTGTATTTTTGTTTGTTTTGTGTATAGGAATTCGGAGCTGGTGCTTCCGTAAAAAAATGCAGAGAAGGCTGCCAGTAAACACCTTACTACTTAATTGAATGTAATTCCTTAGTCAACCATCTTTAGTACTTGGCTTCATCCTAACTCTTTTTCCATACATTGCTTTTGTTCCAAAGACATCCCAAATGAAGTTCCATGCAATTGAGCAATCGTTGCGGAAACCTCAAACAAGAAAGATACCGAGGATAGCCTTACTGGTGGCCTTTGCGATTATTTTATCAGTCATCTCCATTTATTCTCCTTCGATAAGATATAGAACTAGTAATCTAGCAAAATCACCTCCCAATCTTGTTTCTGTTGAAGAGGAATCACTAAAGCCTACAACTACTCAGTTGACGAAAAATGGTGACCTGTGTCGTGATGACAATTCACCTCTGTGTCATGGTAGAGATAGTGAAGAAGAATTGCAAAATCCGAAAAAGGGGGTAGAGGAGGAACCAGCAAAGCATGTTGGGGAGTCTGAGGTTAGAAAGTCAACAGGAACAGAGGTAAAGGAAGAATCTGTAAAGAATGAGGAGCATTCGCAGGATGTCACCAAGAGGGAAGAAGAGGACTCACCAATCCGTGAAGAAGAATCTGAGGCTGCAAAATCATCAGAAACACAGGCACGGGAAGCAGAAAGGAACGAGGACAACTCAGAAAAGCCTGAAGATGGGGAAGTTGCAGCTGCTAAAGTTGAAGCACAAAACGTATCTAAAAGGGAGGAAGAGGAATCACCAGTCCATGAACAAGAATCTGATATTACTAAGTCACCAGAAACAAAGGCACAGGAGGTGACCGAAGGGAAAAATGAGTTCCCTGACAAGCCTAAGGAGGAGGGTACCCAGACTACGAAATCATCTGCAATAGTAACACAAGAAGCACCACAATATGAAAATTGTGACTTATTTACTGGGGAATGGGTCCCTAACCCTGAGGGACCTTATTACACAAACTCGACGTGTTATGCAATCCAAGATCATCAGAATTGCATGAAGCATGGAAGGCCTGATACTGACTTCTTAAAGTGGAGGTGGCAACCAGATAGTTGCGAGCTTCCAGTTTTTGATCCACACAAGTTCTTGGAATTTGTCAGGGGAAAGTCTATCGCTTTTGTTGGAGACTCTGTTGCTAGGAACCATGTGCAGTCATTGATGTGCCTCTTGACCAGGGTAAGTTCATCAAACTAAGTTTCTCAACTCATATCAGCTTATGCATTTTATGACAGCACAGGATTATTAGTAGCTTACCTCCACGAATAACTACGCTTGACTGAAAGAGATCTTTTGGGTCAAACTTAGAGAAACATGCACATGTTAGAGTAAGGTTTTGATTATTCTCAATAATATGATAAATTTACATACAATTTCACGTTCACCTCTATACTGCTGTTAATCGAGCTTGCCTCATGAATAATTATAGACTTTTTAGTGTCTCATGTCTGTAGTTCATAGAACCAGATTGTGCATGATTAAGACTTTCCTTTTGTTTTGAGATTGATGGATGGACATCATGTTGTGATATTTTCAGGTCCTTTATCCTCACGAAATTTCAAATTCAACAGATGAGAACAGAATATGGGAATACAAAGAATACAACTTCAAGGTGTCAATATTGTGGGCTCCCTATTTGGTAAGATCAGTGGAAGTTACTAATCCAAATGATGGATACCGCTCTTTCAATCTATTCCTTGATGAGCCTGAGCAGTGGTCAAACCAGATTAAAGATTATGACTATGTTATCATCTCGGCTGGGCATTGGTTCCCTCGTCCATCGATGTTCTACGAGAATGGCACTTTGATGGGATGCCTGTACTGCCCGAATGCTCCTCATTATACAACCTCTTTTAGTTATCAGAGGGCCTGGAGAACAGCTTTGAAAGCCATCAACAGTATAAACTATAAGGGTGTGACATTTCTTAGGACGTTTGCTCCCGAGCACTTTGAAAATGGAACCTGGGACACAGGTGGTAACTGTGCAAGGACAAGACCGTTTAAGAGAAGTGAAACTACTTTGACTGGTGGAGCCCTAAACTTCTACACGATCCAGCTGGAGGAACTTAAAATTGCTCAAGAAGAGGGGGAAAAGAATGGACTAAAATTTAGGTTACTGGATGCCACAAAAACTATGCTGCTCAGACCTGATGGTCACCCCAGTAGATATGGTCATGAGCCTACTCAGGCCGTGGAAATGCCGAATGATTGTGTGCATTGGTGTTTGCCTGGACCGATTGACTCCTGGAATGACTTTCTGCTGGAGTTGATGAAAAGAGAGGAAAGTAAAAGGTCAGTTACCTGAAGTTAAAGAAGTTATGTCTGGCCTGGGTGTGCATTGTTGTCAATATCTGATTTTTCCTAATATATCTTATTTTGTAGAACTAGAACCTTTTACCTCAATTACTTCATTTTTAATTTATTTTGTTTCATACAACCTAATTTTATTGTGAGGTTTCTTACCTTGCACTACTTAAGTGAGCTGTTTAGACTGGAGATTGATTAGTTTCTTTCAAGATTGTCACCGGTGAACAACTCTTTTAGGACATTTAGCAAAACACATTGTCTTATCGAATCTTATACAACAGAATTTGATGTGGACAGTTCTATTTTATGTTATATTTTACATCTAAACTCAATATTATGAAAGTCCTCGGACAACTGATAATATTCCTAAAGTACGATCCATGTAAAAATCAATTCTTTGCGGAGATGACAACAATAGAAGTTCTAATTTAACTATGTGGGGTTTGTAATGTATCATTCGTGGCGACAATTTGGATAGCATACATAAGTTGAAGATAATCCAGGTTTTGTAACTTAAAATAAGCAGTGGCAACACTGAATTAGCAGTCAGCAGAGGCCAGAGGGGCGACTGTATGTGGGAAAAACACCTCAAGTGTCAACCAACATGAGAATACTGTCCTGCTTCGCTGGGTATTAGGTCATATTGTCATAACAAGCCCCCTCAAATCTTCACATAATAATAGAATACCAATTTGATCACATGATGCTAGCTGAGCACACAAATTTTTTAAAACGTTTGACATTTCACCTTCATCCCATCATGTTCTTCATTTTTTTGAGTGGTTAGATCATGACTTTCAAAGTCTAAATCTCCTGCAAAAATGATTAACGAAGCAGCGGCTGATCAGCTCGCCTTTGGCGTAAATCAACTAGAAAAGGTTCCAAAGGTAGCCGTTACAGTCATTTGCTTCCTGCTTCTTTGGAGTTTCACGGTTACTCTTTACTATCCTCCTTCAGACATCCAGAATTATGATAATCCCACCGCAGATTCAAGCTCAAACTCAAACTCTTCAACGTTGTCAAGTCTGGAACAGGATCAGAAAGATTCTGATTCTCCCCAAGGCCAAAGTCCGGTGACCCAAAGAGCTGGTGGTGAGAGAAGAAAAACGGGAAGAAGCGCAGTAACAGGGAGAGAAAATTGCGATTTGTTTTCAGGGGAATGGGTTCTGAATCCAGAGGCACCTTATTATACGAATGCAACTTGCTATACGATTCAAGATCGTCATAATTGCATGAAATATGGAAGGTCCGACACGGATTACTTGAAATGGAGGTGGAAACCGGACGGATGCGAGCTACCTGTATTCGACCCGCTTCAGTTCCTGGAAATTGTTCGTGGGAGGTCTATTGCTTTTGTTGGAGATTCTGTGGGAAGGAATCATATGCAATCACTGATGTGCCTCTTGTCCAGTGTAAGTAAATCTCAAAAACTTACCTTTTTTGGTCTTTTTCACATGTAATTCAATTACACTTTTCCTTGTGAAACTTGCAGGTTCTTCACCCTCTCAAATTGTCTTCAGGCGATAACAGCCAGTATGAGCACTGGGTGTACAAGGATTACAACTTCAACATTTCCATGTTTTCATCTCCATATTTGGTAAGATCAGAAATTGGCAATCCAGACGATGATGTAACCAGCACTTGCAGTTTGTATCTTGACGAAGCTGATGAAAGCTGGAGTACAAAACTAGATAGCTATGACTACGTTATCATCTCATCCTCACAAAGGTTCTTTAGGCCATGCTGGTTATACGAAAACCGCACTCTCATTGGCTGCACCGGCTGCAAACAGGGTAATGTCCATCAATTCGATGCTTATTTTAGCTACAGGAAGGCATTTCGGACTGCTTTTATAGCCATTAATAGTTTGAGAAACTATAAGGGCGTAACTTTTTTTAGGACCATAACTCCATCACACCTTGAAAGCGGGGAGTGGGACGAAGGTGGAGATTGCCTGAGGAGGAAGAGGTCGTTTAAGTGGAATGAGACTGTTTTGGAGGATTATGATTCGGAAATGCGGAGGATACAAATTCAAGAACTGAAAATTGCACAAGAAGAAGGAAACAAGAGGGGCTTAAGGTTTAGATTACTAGATGTAACAGACATGATGTTGGTTAGGCCTGATGGTCACCCGGGTAAATATGGGCACAGGCCGCAGGAGAGAATTAGTAATGACTGCGTGCATTGGTGTTTGCCTGGGCCGATTGATACGCTCAGTGATTTCTTGCTTGAGTTGCTAAAGAGGGAACAACTCAAAAACTCATTAAATTTTTTTTCCCCGCCAGTTGTTCAATGATTTATGAAATTGTGAAGAACCAACTTAAGAGGTTAAAGGTTCATTACATCGACAAACATTTCTACAGGATTGATTTCTAATTGCTCTGCATTTATTTGTTGTTTTTTTTTTTTTTTGTTTTTTTTGGGAAGCCCCATTGAAGTAATAGTTGTTAGAAATGTAAAAGAAGATTATGTTGGGATGACATTTATTATTAAAACATTATGTAAAAACCAAGTGAGAAATGAACCAAACAGAGCCTCACTTTTTGTACGTTTCATTATTATTATTATTATTATTTCATATTTGCAGGGTGTCTATCCTCGGGCAGGAACGGACCTACATAGAGGCTCGCCTATGCTAGAGTACCCCCGGCCTGCCGGAAAAATTTTCCGGCTAGCCTATGTCCGCCCCTGTTTTTTTTCAGAGCACCCCAATTTTTTTGCGCAGCGAGTGAAAGAGTAAAATGAGGAAGACGTTATAGTTTTTTCTTCTTGGAAAATATGAATTACAACAAAAACGTAGTCGTTTAGTTTAATGATTCACTGAAAAAGAATCACTTAAAGACGTGGGTTACCAAACTCTCTTCCTGCCACTTTCTTATAAATCACCCACCACATTTCCCACGTCAGCCTTGCAAAATTCTAATGGTATAAAAAATGAACCTAATAAACATTGCATCTAGTTATGTGGCCTCATTTTGATTTTTTTTTTCTTTTAATTTGCTTCAGGTTTTACATTATGTTTATAAATAGTTGTATTGTGTAATTCTACTTGTGCTATTTTATTTAAATTTCTTTGACATTTTTATTTATTGCTTTAATTCTTTTAATTAAAATTTTTTTGATAATTCAATGCATTGTGTTGTTTTTCTTTGTCATCTATTCATACTTGGCTATAATTATTATGTTCAATTGAAATTTTAGATTATTTACTACATTTGAATTGAGTTGAATTTTAGCACAATGGGCAGTCAAAAATTTTAACTTTAATTTATCTTATTTTTCACTTAATATTTATAATCTATTATTTTTGTATGTACAAACATTATTCTAATCCCTTCTACCTCCCCCATATAGTGAGCACCTTCAAAACTCGAGGTTTAATTCTATCACTGATCCTCGGTAACAGTGGCTAATTCCTCTCCATATAGTGAGCACCTTCAAAACTCGAGATCTAGTTCTACCAGTGACCCTCAAAAATAGTGGCTAATCCCCTTCGCTAAATTGTAGACACCTCGATTCACTGACCATCGGCAACAATGACTAATTCCCCTCGCTAAATTGTAGGCACCTCAATAGGTGAGACAGCTGGCCAAAATATTTAAGATTGCTCCGTGCCCATGGCGAGGTTGAGAGTTAAGATTGCTCCATGCCCATGGCGAGGTTCGAACTCTCAACCTATAGTTAAGGATGAAGGAGTCCTTTCCACTCCACCACAACTACTTTGGTTTACGTTTCATTATCTTTAAAGAGCTTTTCGCCTTATGCGTAAATTCTACAAGTGGTGAGTAGATAAATCATAAAAGATTGTCCCTAGTCAAAGCCTCTCATAGGGCGCCAATCTTAATTAGTGGGCTGGAAATTGGAAACTTCTTGAGGCTCTGTGTCGAAGCAGCAATTTGCTGCTCTTCACATGGCCGGCTGATCAGCATACTATAGATTAATCTAATTAGGTCTAATTAATGCGATCCCACTTTTAATTCCGATTCCCAGCACTTAACAAAGGAAAAAGAAACCACATCAAATAATTACTAGTTGAATTATCATCCAATCATCTACGTATTCATGCACCGACCAGATTAATTAATTAGCATATGGTATGTACGTGGAGATCGGACGGTTGCGACGTCCCGAAATTCAAACCGAGCTGATTCTTGGAACTTGTACGGTTACTTTTTACCGTTTACACAAAAATATTAGTAACGTTAGTATGTTATAATAGGAAGATGTCAATTTAATTTTTTTTCTGGAAAAAATAAACATTATCCATTAGTTATCAAATTGTTAAATTCGAATCGTTAACATTAGGAAATGTAGTCAACACGATCACTAGGAAAATTATTCGTCGATAATATATCATACTCCCTCCATTTCAAAATGTAGATCGTTTTAACTTTGGAAAAATATTTCAAAATGTAGGTCTTTTAAAGATATCAAGGCAAATTAAAGACTAATTTTTTAATTTTGCCTCCAATAAATTATACTAACCACTTTTTATCTAGTTTTAGTTATAATCCCGAAACAATTAATGATGGATAAAATATAGTACTCCCTCCATTCCAAAATAAGTGTCATTCTACATTTTATACATAGTTTAAGAAACTCTTAAATAGGGTAATAAAATTACTTGAATATCATCAACCAACCCCATTAAAAAAAATCCACCAATAATATTAATTCTTTCAAGGGTAATTTTGGAAACTTTGGATAAAAAGTGCATTGAAATGTAAGAACGACACTTATTTTGAAATTTTTTCATTTCCTTAATTTACGTACAGAGCCTAAAATGACTTATATTTTGAAATAGAAGGAATATACAATAGGTTGACCATTAGTCAAGAGGTATAGGATAATATTATCAAAACTTATGAATTTTATGGTCTACTTGACCAAAATCCGGAAGATTATGATAGATTTGGCCAAAACTCATGAGTAAAATAAAAAAATATAGGTGGCCCTAATGCTACTTAGTTAAACTTTTTTGGTACTTTCTCCATTCCAAAATAAGTGTCGTCCTACATTTTGCACATAGTTTAAGAAATTCTTAAATAGAGTAATAAAATTACTTGAATATCCTCAACCAACCTCATTATAAAATTGTTCACCACTAGCATTAATTCTTTTGAGGGTAATTTTGGAAACTTTTGACAAAAATGCTTTGAAATGTGATAATGACACTTATTTTGGAATTTCTCCATTTTGCTAAAACGACACTTATTTTGGAATGGAGGGAGTATTATCTATCTATCGGTATCCAAATTCGAGCTAAATAAGTTTATTTGGGGAAGTTAAATTAATATTCTCATATCCCCAAACTTAATACATATGCGCGTCCATTTCCAGACCACCGAGATATGTTCAATTTCTCAGATCTGGTTTGTGACTAAAGAAAATTGACTTCGTCAGATATGTTTTACCGGTAATTATGCATATCATCTCGGAAGAAGATGAGAATATATATTTTTCTTGTTAGAAAGAAGGTGAGAATAATATAAAAGTTGAAGCAAGACTGTATGCCTTCAGAATCTTAAAAATTTTTAGTATTAAAAGCAAAAATGTCAACTACCATTAACTGAGATCTATAGGTGCTACTTAGCACAAACTACAAAGCCAAATTAATAGAGTAAAGTTTGCAATGCCAATTTCGGTTTTTCCCCGCAATTAAATTGCCAGGCTTTCCATTGATTCAAACTTCGAAGTCAATTATTATTACTTATTCATCAACGAATTTGGTTTTCAAAACGCTCCCCCCAATCAGATGAAACCAGCTCTTCCAATGGAACTGCAACACCATCAAGTAGCTGATGATGTTTATCTTTCCTTTCAGCCAAGTGCACCACTGAGAAAGTCGACATTGATCAGCATTGTGGCTTTTGTTTTGGGTGTTACTATCATATATGTATATTCTCCTTATTCATTTTCTCTCTACGTTAATCCCACCTCATTATCTACCGGAAACTCATCCTCATTGCTCAATAATGATTCCATAGCGACAAATGATGGGTCCCTAATTGCCGAGCCCGATAACAACAATGAGTCCGACGTTGTGAAGAATGAAGAAACCTGCGATTTGTCTTCCGGGGAATGGGTTCCGAATCCAGATGCACCTTATTACACGAACGTGACGTGTCCCGGAATGTATAACCTTCAGAATTGCATGAAATTCGGGAAGCCCAGCATGAGTTTTTTGGAATGGAGGTGGAAACCCGACGGCTGCGAGTTGCCGACTTTCGACCCCAACCGGTTCTTGCAACTTGTGAGAGGAAAGTCTATCACTTTCGTTGGAGATTCTTTGGCAAGAAATCATATGCAGTCACTCATATGCCTATTATCAGGGGTAAGTAAAGGACCATAATCTACCTAGTAGCAGTTTATTTATTCATATATATAATTCTTCAATTTAACGTCAAGAAATCATTCATCCCGAACTATATATAACTATAAAAAGTGTGTAACATTATTAATTTTTCAGGTTGTATATCCAGTGGATCTTTCGCCCGGTGACAATAAGAAAAACGGGAACCAACATTGGGTGTACAGGGATTACAACTTCAACATTTCGCTTTTCTGGAATCCATTTCTGGTAAGGGCAGAAATGACCGATCCCAGCAACGCTTTCGGCTCTTACAATCTTTTCCTGGACGAGTGCGATGAACAATGGACTTCCAAGATTGAAGGGCACAACTACATCATCATCTCCGCCGCGCTTTGGTACATAAAAACTAACATGTTTTACGAAAACCGCACCCTCGTTGGCTGCGAGGACTGCGAGTTAGAGAACGTGACAAAATTATCCGCGTTCTACGGCTACGAAAAAGCACTCCGGACAGCTCTTCGAGGCATTAACAGCCTGAAAAATTTCCACGGCCTCACTTTTCTTAGGACGATTACACCAACCCACTTTGAAGGCGGTGGGTGGAACGAAGGCGGGGATTGTGTGAGGACTAAGCCTTTTAGAAGAAATGAGACGGTTTTGGCACCTCATTTGGCTGAAATGTACAGAATTCAAGTGCGGGAACTTAAGACTGCGGAAGAAGAAGGAATTAGTAAAACGGGTTTAAGATTCAGGTTGATTGATGTAACCAAACCGATGTTGCTCAGGCCGGATGGTCACCCTAGCAAATATGGACGGAAATCGGGCTCGAATATGCCTAATGACTGTACTCACTGGTGTATGCCGGGACCTGTCGACACTTGGAACGAGATCTTGCTAGAGTTGATTCGGAGGGAGGAAGCCAAAACTTGATCCTCTTTTTCTTGTTTTTTATTTTTTTTACTGTACAACTATGTTAGTTCCGCAGATATATAATGTGTGATCAATATCTAAATTGTTTACTTTCTTCCATGTTTTCGTTGGCATAATTTGAATTATGTAAGTGCTAGAGGCTTATGAGATATGGTAGCTACAAGCTTAAGATAGGAATCGCCCCCATGGACTAGTAGTAATTCAATTAATTGCAACAAAACCGTTGTCTTTCAAAAACACATATGCAAAGTTGTACTATTTATAAATATAATATATAGTCTCTCTATCCTAAAATTATAGTGCAATTTGAATTTGACTTTTAGTATAATTTGAATTAAAAATGAAAACTCAAACTGGACAATAATTTTGGGACGGAGAGAGTAGTTTTTTTGGACAGCTTTTAAAGCCACTAATAGTTGGAGAAACTATAAGGGTGTAACTTTTCTGAGGATAATAACTCAATCCTCAAGCTCTTCGAAAGTGGGGAATGGGGCGAAGCCGCGAAGGGGGAGATTGCCTGAGGAAGGGGCCGTTTAAGAGGAATGAGACTGTTTTTGAGGATTATGATTGGAAATGCACAGGATACAAACTCAAGAACTGAAAATTGCACAAGAAGAAGGAAACAAAAGGGGGTTTAAGGTTTAGATTATTTGATGTAACAAACACGATTTTGGTAAGGCCTGATGGTTGAGTTGCTAATTAGTTAATTAGTAGTGACTGCGTGCATTGGTGTTGGCCTGGACCGATTGATACCCTTAGTGACTTCTTGCTTGAGTTGCTAAAGAGGGACCAAGTCGACAACTCATAATTAAGTTGATGAACTGAATGTTCATCACATTGACCAACATTTTTTGAGGATTGATCTGCATTAATAAAATAAATAAATTTTGTTGTTGTTGACACGGGAAGCTCACCAAAAATAGGCAAACTCATGTTTACGGTAATAATTTGCAAAGTGCAATAGACGATAAACTGAAGTTTTCACACAAGGGCCAATTACGTCTGTTTTTGTAAGTATTATCTTTAATAAAGAGCTTTTCGCCTATGCGTAAAGTCTATAAATCCTGAGTGGATAAATCATATAGTTAAAGATTGATCCCCGGTCAAAGCCTCTCCTAGGGGCGACAATCTTAATTAGTGTAATCTGGAAGTTGTGTATAGTAGCAGCAGCTTGGTGCTAGGAATCTGTTCACGTGGCTGATGATCAGTATACCATAGATTAATCTGTAATGTGATAGCTTAATTATTTCCGATTCCCAGCTTTTTAGAAGTAGTAGTCTGATTAGAAATCACATCCCATAATTAGGTGAATTATCCTATTAACCATGCATCTAATCAATTGTAGAACCAACCAGGCTTTTTTTCAACCAAAAAAAAAAAGAAGAAGAAAACAACAAAAGTGGGAAACTCTATCGATTCCAGTAATTTTTCTATCTTAGAAAATTATTTATTTTGTTGAATAAAAATAATACTCGTTCAGCTTGGATTTACAATTTTAGTATAAGTTGAACTAAAAATAAAAATTTAAACTGACAATTATTATAAAACACAAGAAATTTAACAATATAATTATTTTGTTCGAGATGGATGGAGCATGAATAATTTAAACTTTAAGAGTTATTGTCACTTGTTTTGTAAAGGAGCAAGATTCCCCAACCATGGATCATCAAGCCTCGCTCTAAAACAGAGAATACTCACAAACGTGGGACAACTTGCAACAAAGATTGTACGGTATGCTCTTTTTACTGGGTAGGTGACCTACCGTGGCAATCACTTTCTACAGTCTACCTGCTCAAACCCACGATGCAGGATCATCAATTTCTCAGATCTGGATTTTGATTAATAGTTAAGAAAATTGTTTTTCATTTTTAATTCATCTTCAAACGTTTTTATTGGGGGATCTACATCGATCACCTTGGAAGTGATTTTGAGTGTATATATTATTAATTTGGTAAGTACACGGTACAGTCTATACGCTCTGAGATGATATGTCTTTCACTTTCACAGCGTAAAAGTGTCAAACGATAAGTCAACTCAATGAAATGAGATATGGTGTCATGTTTTAGCAACTAATTAAGCCAAAATAGCTTTGGAGTTTGCCAATGCCCATTTCATCTCTACATGAATTGCTGATTAGATCTATTTCAATTCATCACTTCTTCTTCTCTTTTACTTTTTTTTTTCCTTTTTTTTTAATTATTTCCAATTTTTGTTCTGTATTATTTTCCAATCATATCCAACTCTCCCGATGAAATTGAAACACCAAAACAGAGCTGCTCATGATTATCTTCCCTTCGATCAGCCCACGGTGCGGAGGAAGGCGGTCGTGACGGCAACCCTGCCGTTTATTGTGATCGCTTTCCTTTCGAGTGTTGTGTTCACTATTGTCTATTTTCAACCTTATTCTTATCTCCCTTTCGTTAATCCCACCACATTTTCTCATCATACTTCAGATGGATTTGATTCTCTCCGCAACAACTCCTCATTAGTAAGACACCCCAATAACGTTGCCACCGAGAAAACGAAAGAAGCTGTAGCCACCGACTTGGCAGCCATCTCAACGGCTTCCAACGAGAGGACTACTGATTCTTTAACGTTGTCAGGTCTGAACCTGGAAAAAAGCTTGTCGAAAACAAACGAGAGTAAACAGCCTGATGAGCCTGACCCTGATCAGCAGCAAGTCCTGAAAAAAGTGGAAACACAAATAGGAATACCAGAAGGAGAGATTGATGGCGTGAAAGAAGAAAGCTGCGATTTCTCCACCGGAGAATGGGTTCGGGATCCAGATGCACCGTACTATACCAACGCCACGTGTCCTGCAATGTATGAACTCCAGAACTGCATGAAATTCGGGAAGCCCGGCACCAGTTACAAGGAATATAGGTGGAAACCGGACGGCTGCGACCTCCCGAAATTCGACCCTAACCGGTTCTTGGAACTTGTAAGAGGGAAGTCTATTTCTTTCGTTGGAGATTCTTTTGCAAGAAATCAGATGCAGTCACTGATCTGCCTTTTGTCCGGGGTAATTAAATTTCAGTTTCTTTTTAATCTACGGATGGAAACCTTTCATCTTGAAATTAATTAGGCATTCATATGTTTTTTTTTAAGTAACAATTTATTCCAGGTAGTTAATCCACTGGATCTTTCACCGAACGAAGACAAGAAATGGGGAAATCAACATTGGTTATACAAGGATTACAACTTCAAAATCTCTTTCTACTGGGCACCATTTCTGGTAAGGTCCGAAAAAACAGATCCCAACAACGCACACGGCTCATACAATCTGTATCTTGACGAATACCATGAAAAATGGACTAGTAAGATAGAAGGATCCAACTACATTATCATGTCGGCCGGGCAATGGTTTATGAAGACCAATATGCTTTACGAAAACGGCAGCCTAATTGGGTGTGGAGACTGTAATAATCGGCAAGACAACAACATGACTCAATTTCCGGTCTTTTTCGGGTATCAGAAAGCAATCCAGACAGCTCTCGGGGGGATTAACAGGTCGAAAAAATTCAAGGGCTTAACTTTTCTTGCGACAATTAACCCGACACATTTCGAAGGCGGGGCATGGAATGAAGGCGGAGATTGTGTGAGGACGAGGCCTTTCAAAAGGAACGAGACTGATTTGCCGCCGCATTTGGGTGAAATGCGTAGGATACAGGTGCAAGAACTAAAGGCTGCTGAACAAGAAGGAAGGCCGGTAAAGGGTATCAAGTTCATGTTGATTGATATTACAAACGCTATGTTGATGAGGCCCGATGGTCATCCTGGCAAATATGGACGGCAACCGGGTTTGATCGACTATCCTCCTGACTGTGTTCACTGGTGTACGCCTGGACCTGTTGACACGTGGAACGAGATCTTGCTCCAATTGATTTGGCGGGAGGAAGGTGAAAATCGAATTTTCTTTTCTTTAATTCAAGTATTTTAGGGAAGAAAAAAAATTCACTCATTCATTCATTCGTTGCCTGTGTTCCTAGAAAATGTTAATGCAAACACTATTGGAAGTGATTTTGCTTTTTTTTTTAATCATGTCCCTACTTTAATTGCCACGATATAATTATAATAAGGTTACCTACTTGTATCGCGCTACTGTGAACTCCGCAAACTAAGGGAATAAGAACATGAAATTTGAAAACTGAATGGTCAAATCTTTAGTAGTTAGAGCAGAGGCAATTTATTTTATTTTATTTTATTGATTTCTACCACTCCCAAGCATGGTCAATTTCTTAAATCTAGTTCTGATGAAGTCGTTAAGAAAGTTGTTTTGATCAGGTTATTTATAAAGTCTACCAGCCAAAGAGAACGAAAGTTTGGCTTTTTTGACTAAATATCAAGTAGCATTGATTCTTTGAAGTGGTCAGGTCCGATACTGGCGGGAAACTTGTCGGAAACGAGCCACATTATTAAACTGCAGCCTGAACAATCTCATGATCAGACCGACGGTCTGATTCATGGAACAGCGTTAACCGGCCGGAAAGAGGAAGGCAAAAGGGAGTAAGGTTTAGGTTGATTGATGCAACAAAGCCTATGTTGTTCTTTAGTTTCGCATATGTTGTGTTAATATCTAAATTTGTTTCTTCTATGTTTTCTTTGCCAAACTTCGGAATTAGATGTGATAAAGGGTAATAAGATGGCAGCAACAAGATCCGGTAAGGAAATAGATCAGGACTTTTAATTCCGCGTACAATTTTACATAGTATTTCTTCATAACATATGCAACTTAATTTATATATTTCTTCTGTCTGAAAAAATTATTGTTCTGTTTGCAACTAAACTAACAAAACAATAATTTTGAAGACGGAGGGGTAATTTCTTTCTGTATAGACTCCGCTCTCAAAGTCCTTTTAAACTTTGTAATTATTATTTTAGGTTTACTAATTTGGTCTCTTAATCTTAATTTATTTCATGTGGCTGCCTAACTAGAATAAATTTGCATGGGGGCGGCCGGCGCTGACAAATACGAGCTGAATTAACAGTGGAAATGTGCTGCTGTTCCTTCATTAAATAGGCTAAAAACTGGTAAATGAAGCCATAAGAGGCATATAAGTTTCGAACTGCCACTATATATCTCATTAATTCTCTACATTCTCTAAATTAATCATATTTGCACCAAGCCAAAAACTACCAACTCGCCACTTTCTGCTTCATCTTCCCGCAGTACAAGACAAGGGTTACGGTTATTTAACTTTCCTTTGTATCAAACTAGAATGAAAGATGTAGCCGCAGCTAATCATCAAACCCCATTCCAACATTCTTCCAATATTATGATATCAAAACTGGTTTTCTTTTTCATTTTTCTTACACTTCTTTTATTAGTACTTACCATTTCTCCTCCAATATTTGACTACAGTTACCCAAGCAAAAGATATGTGCCTGCAACTTCGTTCGAGCTAGTTGACAGTGCCAACACAAATAGTAGTAGTAATCAAGCGGAAGTAACGAATCCGGAAAACTGCGAGTTGTTCACTGGTGAATGGATTCCTGACCCCAATGGACCCTACTACACCAACAAGACGTGCCACAAAATCCAGGAGGAACAGAACTGCATGCTGCATGGAAAACCCGACACAGGTTACGTGAAATGGAGATGGAAACCAGACGGCTGCGACCTCCCGATTTTCGATCCACACAAGTTCTTAGATTTGGTTAGAGGAAAATCTATTGCCTTCATTGGGGATTCTATGGCAAGAAATCAGATGCAGTCTTGCCTCTTGTCCAGAGTACGTAAGCGTGTTTGGTTATTATAAACGCGATATGTTTTTTAAGTCAAATTGTGATTATAACTTTGTGTTATGTCATGGAAACCACACCTCATTCTTGATTGATCGACTGATTCTAACTCACTGATTTTGTTGTGATATATGCAATTGTAAGGTTGTAGTCCCTGAGGATCACAAAGATTGGGTGTACAAAGATTACAACTTCAACGTCTCATTGTATTGGTCTCCCTATTTGGTACAGATAGAATCATAGAAAGACCTCAAGGGGACATTCTCCATGTGTACCTCGACAAATTTAACAAACACTGGACATCTAAAATCCAAAAATACGACTACGTGGTCATCTCAGCCGGGCCGTGGTTCCCCCGCGACCCAAGCAAGTACTACGAAAACGGCTGCCTGATCGGCTGCTATGCCTGTAAGGAAGAAAAGGTAGCGGATTTAGGATTCTATGTGGCATACCAAAAGGCATACAGGACAGCGTTGAGAGCCATCAGGGAGTTGGCAAAACCCGAGGCTACGATTTTCGTTAGGACCATTTCTCCAAGACATTTTGAGAACGGAACTCGCGAAGCTGGCGGAGATTGTGTCAGGACAAGGCCTTTTAAGAGGGGCGAAACGAGTTTGGAACCTTATGCGGAAATAATGCGAGGGATGCAATTGGAGGAGCTGATAAACGCTCAAGAAGGAGGAGGAGATCAAAGGGGGACCGAAGTTCAGATTGTTAGATGTGACACAATAAATGTTGCTGAGACCTGATGGACATCCCAGTAAATATGATCACCGGCCTAATCGACCTCGATTTCAGAAGGACTGTTTGCATTGGTGTTTGCCAGGACCGATTGATGTCTGGAATGCCTTTTTGCTGCAGTTGTTGATCAATGATCAACCGTATACCTAATACTACTACTTTCACTGAGTCGACGTAGATTCAAATCGCTGTATTAGATTCCATACGAATTCAAATAGTTCAAATCTTGGTAATAAAACACATGCATTTTCCCGTACATTAATTTATATAATTAATCACCTATAGTGATGAATAAGTGGATGCGGTTCTAACATGGTGGTAAGACTCTAACTTAATCATTTAGAGATTCTGTATAAAAATGCTATCGACTCTTTGATTGTGAGAAAGAAAAAAAAAATTAAAAGAGGGAGAGAGAGAGAGAGAGAAACCAATTAGATTCTAAGTAAATCTTGTGGATATTCATCAGTAAATAAAAATGATCTTCCTCCTCCTAATACTACTGCTTCTAATCAAATGAAGGCCCACTTTTAGTTTTCGTTAGGGCTGAAGAGATAAGTTAACGTTTGGGCCAGGAGTATTGAATCGAAACCAGTTTAGACAGCAAAATAGGGAGAATCTAACCAAAGTAATTGTGGTGGAGCGGAAGGGACTTCTCTACCTTTAACCATAGGTTGAAGGTTCGAACGTATGAAGCAACCTTAAATACATAGGTCACTGTTACCAACGGTAGACACCCACCATGCAAATATGCCAAAAATTAGAGATAATCCACTGCAAATATACCAAAAATAGGGAGAATCCATATTTTACTGTTGCCGATGGTAGACACCCATCCTGTAAATATGCCAAAAATAGAGAGAATCCACTGCAAATATGCCAAAAATAGGGAGAATCCATATTTTATTGTTGCCGGTGGTAGACACCCACCCTGTAAATATGCAAAAAATAGAGAGAATCCATATAACATTTTATCGGTACAATAACGATAGTTTTGTGAATAAATGAAAGTATGAAACACCTTAACGAAGCTGAAAATTGAAATCGAACTACATAAAATTTTGGTTATATTTGAATTGCATGGGTAAGTCGTTAGTATTTTTTTTTTTCTTTACAATAATCAGGGGTAAGTCGGTAGTCATGGATTGATCAACCGCCCAAATTAAATGAAGAAACAGAGACAGAAAGCAATAACGCCAAAAATGTGGCTAAGCCGCAAATTCAGCTAATGAGTCGTCAAAAGTCGAAACACTCCGCACTTACGCCTTGATGTGTGGGTAATTTGAAGCCAAAAGCCACGGCAATACTCCCCACTCTCTCTAGAATTCTCCGGTCAAATAAAGCCACCCCCAAAGGCTAAATGAGTATGTATCTCGTGTTATATACTAACCACCACAGTAACTAAATCTTGTGAAGCTAATGTTCAAAATTTTCATGTCGTTTTCTTAATAAACTACATCACATTCGGAGTTAAGAATCACTGCTCGAACTGATTCTGATTCAAGTCGGATGAATATATTCATAATGCACTACTAAACAACTACAATTCCAATTATTACGGATCGATGTTAGGCTTTGAATCCTCATTTCATTTCAATTCCCTTAAAATTATACGGTGAAAAATTCAGGGGCCTCTTCGGCCTTTGCAATTTATGTTTTCAGTTAGGATTTGGCACATCTGCACATGGGGATGGGCCAAGGCCAAACCGAACGATCTATAATAATACTAATGGAGTGGAGTACAAGAGTGATTTCTGCTTCTTAGCTTTTCATCTATTTATTCAACTGTCGATTATAAAAAGAAAAATGTGGGAGATCTCTCTCAATGTCACGGCAACAGATTACCGTCAAAGCCTCATTGTTTTATCACTAAAAGGAAAAGCCTAATTTGACATAAACCCCCCTCTTGCCATGTAAAAAAGACTTGGGAACAGACAAAGCTTGGAATTGTGATTCCGGTTTTATAGTGGAACTCCGGTTAGGGTTTGCTTGTAAGACAGAGTTTCGGGGGTCTCTCGAGAATAAACACTCCGATAATTAAGTAAAAAATATGATTATAAAAAAGTATGTATATGATAATTGGTACTAAAGATAGCGTACCTCAATTGTGGTATCATCAACCCTATTTATAGTTATGGAATAACTTAGAAGGTCTCCAAATCTTATTAGATTTCATCTTGATCAACTGCCCTAACAGAGTCGGTTGGGCCTGTGACTGATACATGGACCGGTTCAGTGATCCTCGATATTTATGAACTCGTCAAGAACCAAATAAGTTGTTGAGTGGTGTGGCTTGGGGGTTATTTGAAGAGTGAAGACTCCAATCAAATAGATGGACAGTCAAATGAATAACGCTCATTTGATTTAGGACTTTGGATCACAAACATCTATTATTCCCTCAATCACACAATTTAACTTTTACACTTAAACACGGGGACCTACTTGAACCATTAGTACTACCTTTCTTTCCTCACTCAGCATATTACACACAACCTTATTCTTTGACACATTACCAAGTTTTCAACTTTTTATGTCAATTTCCATGTCTAAATTTATCTCTCAACTCCATATGAGATCTGGCCCAGAATTTACTCAATAGGAAATTAAAAAGAAAAAAAAATAAAGAAAACGTCTCCCAACGCTTCATTCAATACATTTATTTATACTTTAAAATTAGTAACGCAAATTGCGAATCTATAAAATCAGATTCCCCGAATTGTTTATGATTTACCCGCTCATGAAAATCCAAATTCAATCAATCAATAAACTAATCTTTGTCCCCTGTCGGTGGCAGCCTAAATCATCAAACAAAGCCGGCCCTCACTCACTCCTCTGAATGGCTGAATCAGTGAATCTCCTCCTCCACCATCACTTTTAACTGTTCTTCAACAATCCACCATCTGATTTTATAACTTCTCTCCAATTCAACCATCAACAACAACCATATTCCGTCATTACAAAATGCTCCCGACGACCTCCAACTCCACCACCACATCGTCGTCGGAGCATCACCATGCTTTCAAGAAACCAATTAAACCTCACAATCAAGACCACCACCACCTCCTCACCAAGAACATCTTCAGTTTATTCCAGACCCACATCGTTTCCGACACTCGATTTTGGCTCTTGACCGCCTTTATCTTCCTCCAAGCCCTTATCCTTTTCATTACCCGTTCTTCCCCGCCTTCCCTTTCTCCGCCGCATAACGGCGGTCCGGTTAGAGCAGATCACGGCCACCTATTTTCCCATTTCGCCAACTCTACCACCAATTGGCATTCCAAATACGATGACCCGGAATGTGGGTCCGGCCGGGTCTACGTCTACGACCTTCCTTCCATGTTTACCAAGGACTTGGTGTTGTACGAGTGCGACGATCTTCAGCAGTGGAGATGGCAATGCGGCATCGGGACCAACGACGGTTACGGGAAGGAAGCGTCGGAGCTCGCCGGAATCGTGCCGGATCATTTCCTACCGGCTTGGTACAGAACCAACCAATTCTCTCTGGAGTTAATCTTCCACCAACGGATTTTAAATTACAAGTGCAGGACTCTGGACCCGGAATCTGCGACGGCGTATTACATACCCTTCTACGCCGGACTCGCCGTGGCGAAGTATCTCTGGATCGACGACATTCCCAAGCGGGATTATCACTGCAATAAACTGCTGGAGTGGGTGCAGAATAAAACGTATTGGAAGAAAAGAAACGGCTCAGATCACTTCATCGTTATAGGCCGCATCGCGTGGGATTTCCGGCGTTGGACTGAGCCGGGGAAGAAGTGGGGTTCCAGTTTTCTGAATCAGCCGGCTATGGAGAAAGTCACGCGCTTCACTCTGGAGAAACCCGATGGGATCTACGAAGACCTCAGTATACCTTACCCCACAGGATTCCACCCCCAATCCAGATCTCAGCTACAACAATGGCAAGACTTCGTCCGCCGGCAGAACCGTACGAGTTTATTCAGCTACGTCGGAGCTTCCCACGGCGGAAGCTTGGACAATGATTTCAGGTCAATGCTACTTAATTACTGCTACAACGAAACGGGGTGCCACGTGGTGGACTGTGCGCAGACGGCCTGCAACAATGGTTCTGCTGTGTTGTTAAAGGCTTACTTGAGCTCCCATTTCTGTTTACAGCCCAAAGGCGATAGTTATACGAGGCGTGGGGTGTTCGATTGCATGGTGGCCGGGTCGATCCCGGTTTTCTTCTGGAACCGGACGGCGTATGATCAGTACCAGTGGTTCTTGCCGCAGAAATTCAAGAGTTATTCGGTGTTCATCGACCATGAGGATGTGCTAAAAGGTCTGTCGATAAGGAAAGTTTTGGAAGGTTACAGCAAGAAAAAATTGATGAAGATGCGAGAGAAAGTAATCGAGACTATACCAAACATTGTGTTTTCAAGACCCAGTAATAAGTCGGAGATCATAGGAGATGCATTTGATATAGCAGTAGAAGGGGTTTTGGGGAGGTTCAAATATGAAAAAATGTGGGATGAAGAGTGGAAAGATGATGAGGATGACATACTCACAAGGTGAGGAAAAAAGATTTGTACAAATTGCCAAATTCTGAATGCATGTATACTTGGAGTTGAGAGGGGTCCTCTCCCTCTTGAATTCATAATCTCCTCCAGATGTTTTTTCTTTTTTTCCATACAGATATAATTATAGAGGAGCAGAAATAGAGTAGATGATGATTAGATTGTAGACCATCTGATTCTACTGTGTGACATCTGTACTAGGAAAATCTGCATAAAGGTATGGAAGTTTAAAATGGTGCTCTCTGCACTGCAGCAACTACAGATATGTGTGATATTGGCAAAGTTTTTAGCCAACTGTTGATCACCCAGCTGAAAATATAAAAACGTTCTACATTTTCTGAAAATCTTCATCATTGCTTCACACATTCTATTAATGATCAACCTGTATGTTCAAAATTCTCTGTAACTCAAAATGCGAAAGACATCGCAAGCTAACTCGTGCAGCACCATCAATGATGCCTCATGCAGACAGATATCAGAGTACAGACCAGAAAATTTCCAGAAAAAAAGAAGGAAAAAGGAACCAGTGTTGGACTAATATTAAGATTTGGCAATGCTAATTGAGACCCCAAAAACCGCACATAAGAAATCAAGTCAATTGGAACTGGGTAAGATATTCACTAGGCATCTGTACAACCTTACTGTTAAACTACCAGAGTCTCAGAGCAACTTACAGCTTAATCAGAATTCTAAATTTTAAAACCTGAACTAAAAATTCCACTCTTCACCTTTCATCATCCAATGGGGCCATACATCATCTTCATCCAATGTACAAGGTAGACATCATAAATTTACTTTCTGAAATCCAGAATGCAGACCACATTATTGGCAAATGCAGCAGCAATTTTATTACTTTCAGAATTCCAGCCAACTTCAAATATGCCTCCCTGGCCAGTATATTTTTTGATGACTTTTCCTTCTTTCACAGACCAAATGTGCACCGACTTGTCGAGGGAACCACTAGCCAAGTACTCTCCGTTTGGGCTAAACGCAACAGAGTATACAGCCTCACTGCCAATCCAATCATAAAGGTACAATCGTTACACAACCACATCAGCAAAACCACATGATAACCCAAAAAACCAGCACACAAACTACAAAGTACAAAACCAGGTTGGCTGTATTTGAGTTAATCCAAGCAATCAACAAACTGCTCCATCTAACTTGGTAAGCAAAAACAAATTATCTCGAACTAGGAAGTGTTTCCAGAACAATGATTATTCTCCTTAAGATGCTTAAATTGGCTTGAACTCTCAATCCTAAGGGCCCATATCGACAAGAGTGCTGTTTTGGGGTGGTTTTTAATTTACAATAACAAAACTTGTGTCTGAAAATCATAAGGGCATCGCAAACATTAGAACGTTAATTTTAAAGTGAGAAAGAAAGATCAAGTTTGGAATCAGAGACCACGCCCTAAGCAAACACCTTCAGGATTTAATTTTGCAAACAATTTTAGCATGTGCAAGCAGTTCACATTCTTTGTGCATTCAAATGGATGTATCATTACAAGTATCTCATTAACTCAAGCAGAAGTATATGCTAAGATGCTATGCACCTGTGCCCAGTCAAGCTGCGCAGAAGTCTTCCCTGCTCAATATCCCAAAGCTTTACCGTCGAGTCAAATGACGCACTGCAAAAGAAAAAGGTGGAGTCATAAAACAGTTGAATTTGCTTGCATCCTCATCTATTAGCGAAAAAGCACTGAGTTATCAAGCAGTTATTCAACAAAACATCAAAAGGCACAAATTAACAAAACATCATCACAGGACACATGAAGAAGAATTAAAAAAATATTAAATATCAAAAGAACAACCCAAGTCAAAGCCAGAACGATCATGACATATCCTCACTCCACCAAAAGCTTATATACTTCACTCATTGATCACGGTAGTGAGGTTAAAGTACTCTAAACAACATGTAATTACAAGATACGTTCCAGACAGTTATGTAATTTGGCTGGACAAAGGAGGAGTTGTACAGGGAGCAAAATGACCATAAAACAGAAAAGCATTAGGAAACTACTGCACCTAATCTGCGTGTGTATGCAAAATCAAAGTGTGATCATTATAAATCCAAAATTACAACGATAAAATGATGCAAGATTTCACATCTTTAGCCAAGGGTGGAAAATCACTTGTTTACCCAAAAGGGGACCCCACATCCCATTTTTTTGACAATATATCAAAGACAGACCATGAAGTTTCAAATAGAAAACGAATGATATTACATAAAAGTAAGGACATGTAAACTCTAGTTAATTACATAATGGGGGAAGATTATCATTGTCAATCAGGTCGTGTGGAGGTCATATACATTGTGTAAGGCAAAAAGTAAACATGCAAAGAACAGAATCAACCTTGCCAACAGCAATTGCATATTTGGGTTATTTGTGCCTGGTCCAGTGGGACTCCACCTGATATTATATATCTCCTGCAAAAATATGCCAATAAGCTTCAACTTGAGTCCAGAAGGTAAAGGGAGTGTTATACAATAGATATATAAGAATAATACCTTCTCATGTCCCCTAAAATCATGGATGCACTTGTCCTGCTTTAAGCTCCATACCTGCACCATCGATATCCAATCCATTAGAAGAAAAGAACAATGCCATCAGAAAAAAGAAATCTCCTGGTTCATTGGAAAACACCAATAAACTCTTTCGTAGATCATATGAAAATCGTGGGCATATTTTATTAAACCACGTTGTATAAACTCGACATAGTTCATGAAAGAAGAAAATCTCGACCATAAGTTCAGCGAAATATGATACTATCAACTCACAACTTCAAGAAAAATTAGGAATCCAGTCCAACATGTTGGACGGCAAAGGGGTCAGAAATGAACCTTTGCAGTTCGATCATCAGAGCAGGATGCCAGCAATGAACCTGCCGGATCCCATTTAACACAATTTACTTCACCCTGGAAACAAAAAGGATGGAAGAAAGATATTAGAGTTTTCAAAATAATAAAAAAAATTTAATATGTAAAGAGCGATATTGCGATGTTCCTGTAAAAGCTAAATTCCAGCATATAATAGCTATTAGTTGAGGAATCCAAAAAACAAGACAAGTTTAGCAATGCTCAAAGCAGAAAAATAACTCCAGAAATGAAGACAAAATACTCCAACAAACACAAATTTGGAAAGATGCGGAATTTTTCTGCCTATAAAATGCACTTAGTAATAACACATACAAAACAAGACTAAGGCCAAAAGTTCTGAGAGCCAACCTGATGATCAGAAAAGGTCTTAATTGGATGATTTTCTCCAATCTTGAAAACATAGATCTTTTGGTCCGTAGAGCATGTTGCAAAAGAAACATTATTTCGCCAATCAACATCTAGTGTTGGGCCTGTAAAGAAGCTACGCCATGATTTATCAAATACATAATAAACCCAAAAGAAATTAATCATACTACATGGATAAATTAAGAGCACAAAACCTGAGTGAAACTCAAATTGCTGTTTGATTTGCTCAGTTTTGACATCCCAGACTATGGCAGTTTTATCACAGCTTCCAGTAAGAATATAGTCATTCTTCCTACTCCATTTCAAGGAAAAAATTGGTCCTTTATGTTTGGTCAAGGTGGCCTTCAATTGGCCTGGAGATTTGAGCAAAACAGTTCTATAAGAGCTATCAGAACTCAACAGGCAAATAATCAGCAACCCGTAGAAATTTAATAGAAATTTAATGCATCTAATAAAGGTAGAGTTTTCTTGGAATTGCTATCAAGAAAAACAAAAATGCCTACCGTCTATGGTCCAAATTCTAGCTTGCCCATCATATGCACCCGTTGCCAGAAGTGTGCCATCCAGCTGACCATGAAAATAAGCAACAATTTAATCACGCATGATAATCTGAATCTTGAAACAAAAAGGAGATTTTGTAATTACTAGAAGCAAAGACGGTGCGAACAAGTTGGAGCAGGAACTGAGAAAAAACAACTTGTTCAGAACCAACCAGCATTCAATTACAAAAATACTCACATTCCAATCAACGGATGTGACATCTCTGCTTTTCTCATTAGTTTTGCCCTTTACATGCAATAGTACTATCTCATTTGAAGGACCGTTCCGCAAACTTGACTGACTGCTCTCCTCACTGACTTTCCAAATCCGAGCTGTTGAGTCTCCAGATCTAAACACACAAAACAAAAGGCGAAAAGGCAAAACAAGAAGCTTATAAGATCACAGCAATGGTAGTAGTATCATAATTGCTAAACCAAAAAGGCACAACAGCTGCAACAGAAAGCACCCAATTGATGAATCCAATCTGAGAAGACACACCAGAAGATAATCCTACAGGTTAAACTGAAACTTACCCAGATGCTAGGAAAGAACCTGCTGGGTTCCACGAGCAAGCACAGACCTTCAGAAAATAGTAAAGGGGAAACAATTTCAAAAAATAAAATAAAATAAAATAAAAAACCAAAAAGTTTCCAAGAGAAAAAAAAAAATGTTCCCAGATAAGCTAAATTACAAACCTCACAAGCGTGCCCTTCCAGAATGGTGACTTCAGAAGCAGAAAATTCTTCAATTTCATCCACAGAGGTGGTGGAGATCTCCATTGGTTCTGCTCCTAAAACAGGATCAGAGGAAAATCAAAACACTTGTGAAGCTACTTGCAAACACTTTCCCCACAAAGCTAACATCAAAATATACTAAGGCAAGCGGTCCAAATTTGCCATCTTCATTATTTTCAAAAGTTTGTATACGTAGAAAACCAATTTGCATGACAGATCTCGGATCATTAATGATTCCACATCCTACATTATCCGCACGGAAATCATAAACCAGCATAAAGATTCTTGCAACCTCAGAATTCCTAGTTGGACCACTTAAAAAGGAAGCCATGTTATTTTATGATACCACGACCAGAATTAACTCAGGCATATGAATGGAAACATACAATTAGACTAAGACAACCACAAAAATTTGCCATTGAACTTCCAGCTTAAATATAATTCAAAAATATCTCTTGCACTTTTACTGATTCAAATTCACAACACAAGTTCAGATTCTAGAAGCTTATATAGCTTTACCCCCAGAAATCCTAACTTCTTCCTGCCTAACATTTCTCTGGTCCTCATGATTCGGATCTACCATTTTGATCTGCTCCTTTTCTTTTGGTTTCTCTTCGAATTTCTCTGCAACCTTTTCACGTTCTCGTTTCCTTACTTGTTTTTCTCGTTCTTTCACAAGCCCACGTGCACCTTCATGTTCTTTATTTACTTCTTTCTCCTTAGCATTTTTAACTTCTTTTTTCCTCCTCTCCCTTACAATTCGCCGCAACTCATTAACATCCTTTGTTATGAGATCCATGGGTTGCAGAAAGGAAAACTCTTCATCCACACCTGAGTCAACCTGGCGATACTACAATAAAATTAGCAAAAAGTAGCACCACATATGGTGTCGAACTTCCATCAAACTTACTTCAAAACCAAAGAAAAAAAATAGTAATCATGAACATGCCAACCTTACTCAGGTTTGCTTCCATCTCTACATATTGAAGGCCTTTCTGTACAACAGTTATAAGAGCTCCTGGCGGAACCAAACTGCCATCAATGGGGCTCTTGTTGATATTTGCCTCATATCCTAAAGCAAAGGCTGCATGAGTAAAACCTGAGAAGACGGGCAAAGAAAGACAACATTAGTAGATTTTCATCAAAAAAGCTAGGCATACAGAATTTTCATATGCATCCATACAAATAAACTTATAAACGCAGCCTACTTAGAACATAAGACACTAACCAATAAAGACATATTCTGGCGTTTGAAATTCGATATCAATAAATCCAGATTCATATATGCCAAAGCATAATTGAAAAATACTGGTAACTCAGCTTTAGGTAAAACCTAGCATCTAAAATTGATCCAGTTTGATAAGAAAAAACACAATTGGAGGATAACACTCTATATTAAGAATAACTCAACCCTAAGGACCAACCTAAAGACAATAATTGGAAAGGAAGCAAAAGGCCACGCCGCCACGGGTGGGGAAATAAAAAGCCCTAATCAGCATAACTATAACGAAAATTCACTTCCTGTAACGATTAAAACAGAGATATTTCACCCAAACCCGAGCCGAGAAACAGCGACATTACGTGAATTAGAACAACAAAAGGCAAACAATAACCTAATTAAACCTAACTAGGCATGTCCAGAGCACATAGAAAAACACAGACTCGAAAAAGTACAACAGAAAAAAAAAATGAGAGCAAGAGAGAATTAGCTTTACCTGACTCTTGAAGGTAACGAAAGACCAGTAAATTCAATTCGACGGAGGTGATGGCGGTCATTTTTGCCGGCGTCGCCGTCAACCGAGTGGCAATGCCCGCAAGCGGTTACTGAATCATGTAAGAGCTACGCCGTTGCTTACTGCAGTGTTTATTAGTGACTATGCTTCGAGCCTTTGAGGGGAAAATTAGCAACGGGCAACGAAATTATTACAGCTTTGCGCTTCTGGAATTCGTGCTCTGGCGTTTACCTTTTTAAGCCTGCGATATTTACCTAATTGAGGGGGTTAATGGGAAAACTGGGATTTTCTTTTTTTAACTCAACCTAAAAAAATAAATAAATCTGGTGTTATTGGACATTTGTCACAAGTGATAGAGAAAATTCCTATCAAGCATACATCGGTCGGTCAATGGTATATTATCCACAAATGGCCATGACGAATTACCATGTGTACATCGAATCAAATTTGGATATTTATCATGGTGAAAATTTTTAATATAATTCACCAATTCATACATGTAAACAGAAAATTTGACATTTGTCGAATACCAAGTATTACCATATCTTGAGAATGAGGAACATTCGAAAGGTTAAAATGTACATATTTTTGGCATGGCAGGTCATAGGAATGGGTGTTGTTATATCCAAAATAATTATAACCATCCAAAACAAATTATAAAGAATGAATCACAAAAGAGGTCATCGAACTATTAGGTAATTTCATCACAAGCAATCAATTAAATTTATCTATAAAATATGACCTTTTAATAAATAAAAAATCTATCTGAGGTCATTCTGTTTCTTTTGACCGTTAAATCATAACCAAAATTTATTTTTTACATTCAAAACAAGTGAGTTGGCTTTAGGGGCAATTTTGTTGATGTTATTAATTTTTTTAAAAAATTGTTATTATTTTCACAATTCTTCTTATACTTTCTAACTTGTATATGTTGATACTAATATAATTGCTAAATTTCAAGAACTAATTTACCTTTTGTATTTCAACTTCTAAGTTATTAAAAAATAAAGAAAATGACGAAAAAAAATTCAAGTTGAAGTAAACATGAAAATTAATAATTTATCATTTAATTTTTTTTAAAAAAAAAACAAAAGAAAAATAAGTCCTAAAGAATAGTTTTATGATAAAGATACATGCTTGCACTCTTTAATAATGTATTTTTAATATCTTTTATAACTTAGAAGTAGAAATATGAAAGCTAAATTAATTCTTAAAATTTAGTAATTATATTAATATCAACATATACAAGTTATGAAGTATAAGAGAAATTGTTAAAAAGTTAAAAAAAATTCTAAAAAATATAAAATAATGAAATTCCCTTTAGAGCCACCTCACATGTTATGCATGTGAAAAATAGTTGTAATAAATTATCTAGTAGTTCAATATGTTTTGTGGTTCACTCAATTAATTACTCCCTCCGTTTCATAATTATTGTTCATTTTGCCCAAAAAATTTTGTCCCAAAATTATTGTCCAATTTGACTTTTTATGGATCAAGTTACACATTTGTCCTTAGTAAAAAACATTATCCATAAAATCTTAGTGGTTAAACAATTTCTTATGTAGGGGTATATCCGGTTATTTAAGGTAAAATATAGTTAAGTTTGACCAAAAATAAAATCTTTCATTTTAGTAAAACTGGACAATAATTATGGGACGGAGGGAGTATAAATTTTCTTCTAAAATATTCTTTCCAAATCATATTGACTTTTCATATTCCCGGCTCCAATCTTCTACGGTATTTTTTAGGGGTGTTCACGGTTTGGCTCAAACCGGTGGAACCGCCCAATCCGGTCATCGGTTCGGATTAACGGGCGGATTATAATTATATTTTCAAATTGGGGATTGAAAAATTAAAAACCGCTCAATCCGGTCCGGCTTACGGTTTGGCACTGTCAAACCGTCTGTCAATCCGGACCAGACCATATATATATATATATATATATTATAAAATAATAATATATTGATTTTGTATATATAGCGTCGGATAGATACTTTTATTGAAAGTGCTAAGTTGTCCTATTGGCATTATTGTTGTTCCCTCTAAATTAAACCTTGTTGAAGGTCGTGTGTTCCAATCCCCTATGGACTAATTTTTTTTTCAAGAAAAGCCTTAAAAAAAAAGGCTGAAAAATGCCCAAAAAATTTTAGAAAAAGCCCTAAAAAAAGGTCCAACAACAAAAAAAAATGTTTAATTTTTTGCCCAAAATGAAAAAGTCCAATCAGAAGCTCAAACCGCCAATCCGCCCAAATCAAACCGTTAAAAACGGATTGGATTGGTCCGGATTATACACCAATCCGGTCCAATTACAGATTGAAATTTTTCAAACCGTAATGAATAGTTTGGTTACAGATTGCTATCAATCCTGACCAATCCGGATCGTGAACACCCCTAGTATTTTTTATTTTTTTAGTTTTTGAGTATTCCAACTTTTGGCTTGATTCAACTTATTTAGAAAGTTTTTTTTTTCAGTAGATCTGGTGAAAAGGTTTAGTTCAGTTTGATGAAATCTTAAAATGTCAATGAATAAGAGATGAATAATTGTGGCGGGAAATGATATAATTTTTTTAAATGTGAAAAGAGACATCAAGCCCAAGATAGTATACAACTACATTACATTGCAAGAGTTGCTTCATTTCCGTTGCCAAAAGAAAATGAGAAGAAATAATTATTCCTTCCGTCTCATAATTATTATCTAATTTAATAAAAATAAAGATTTTATTTTTGGTCAAATTTAACTAATTTTTTGTTCCAACAACCGAATATGCCCCTGTGAGTAGTTGTTTACCGGCAAGGGTTTGTGGTTTTATAAACACAACATCAATTTTCTTCAATCCAAAATCAAGAAGACAAGAACAACAATTGTAGAAAATAATGAGATATGGAATCTCTTCGTTCTTGTTCTTCGTTGGAATTAACGAATTCCAGTGTTCCCAATCCATGGTTGCGGGGCTTCTCCAACTACCACAACTCACCTACGCCACGTCTGACTTTCAACCAGTTCCAATATTGCTTCTCACCGGCGACGGCTATGACGGCTCCGTCTAATTTCAACATCGAAGGACTTCTCACCGGAGGGGGCTATAACGGCTCTGGCCAATTTCAACATCGGAGGAGTCGTTTCTTCTCACTGGCGGCGGCTATGACGCCTCTGTCCAGTTTCAACATTGGAGGAGCTGTTTCTTCTCATCGGCGGCGGCTATGGCCGCTCTGTCTAATTTCAACATCGGAGTCATCGTTGGTTGAGGGAGCGGGGGGATTGGCAGAGTGCTCTGGATCTCGTTCCTCTTGATTCTCTTTCCTATTGACGGACAATCTAATCTCTTGCCGGCTCTGATGCCATGTTCAAAGCTTCGGGTATCTTATCAACGGTTCAAAGCTCGGTTCTAGTAAAATGATATTTTTGAGTAAAGGCAAATGTTTAACTTATTCCGTAAAAAGTCAAATCAGACAATAATTTTAGGACAAATTTTTTTTGGCAAAGTGGACAATAATTATGGGAAGGAGGGAATACTATTTTTTACAAATAAAAAACAAAAAGTGGGGAAAGGAGTAAAGTTGGGTTTACCTTGAGAGGGGCTATTTTGGAATTAGTTTTGGAATCTAAAAATTGTTTCGACAATACCAACAACCTATATAAATTTGAGGGTTTATTATTAAATTTTGAAAGCTGGCTCCTCTTCAATGTCTTCGTTAGATACAATTTCAATTTCCTTCAACTTCTCAGAATAGTTGCTTTGCTCCATTATTCTCAAGCGATTATTATTTAACATAAAATAAAAGCACGTCGGATGGGGGTCTTTTACTATGATTCCTTTCAATTATTGTCATTAGTTAAGTCTACATGATACCGTTTGAATTATTTGTGTTGTTAGCGTCGCTCATATTCATCAATCTTACACCAATCTCCTGCCTGAACCATTCGGTCCATTCCCAATCTTACCGTGGAAAGAAAGCAAATCAATCAGAGTGGAAACTTCCGGTTAAGAATCTCAAAAAATGTCTCCTCTCGTACTGTTAAGCGATGGTTGTGCTTTTAGCAGCCCCAGATGTTATGGTGGAAAGTTAAAGGGTTCGAAGTCAAGATCAAGGTTCATCATATCTAAGATCCTTAAGAGAAAATATGCAGCCACCACCAAGTCCAAGTGTAAGTACTTTAAATCCAACGCCATTTCATTGTTGAATGCTTGTCTTTCCATGAAGAACAAGATTAAATTTATGGGTACTGAAGAAAAATTTGCAGCCCAGCCGCCCCATGAAGTGAGAAATAATCAGCAGATGACACAAAGAGACAGAGAAATGTTGCGGTGGACATATGGGGTATGCATTGATGGCAAATTTTCATTGGTGTCGATGGGGATGATGTTGAGTTCAGGGTGTTATCTACCTATAGTTGATAGAAATGGGTTGTTATTGGGAAATTTCAGGGAGTTGGATGATATGAGTATATGACTATTTGTGTTTTGTAAGCTGCATAATTTGGTATTGGTTTTGGGCGCCAGAAAATTGTTTGTAAGATGGTTTTGTTCCGCTTCTCTTTTATTTTATCAGAGCTGGGCATTTTATTTTGGAAAAATGCAATGCATTTGCATACCTGTCTATGTGTCGATAAACTTCACTGTTTGTGATGGTATTCTTTGTAAAAATCCGTTGACTTGATCGTCGAGAATCGGAAAAAAAGTCAACGAGGTTAGAAGAAAGGTTTTTGATTTGGATCATATCAAATTTGGTAAAATTTGCCCGCCTCCTCTTCATCACCATCAAGCCTTCAGTTTGAGGAGCATATCGATGTATATATCGAATGGTTCTAAGCAATCAAATCGGCAACAAGTTACTCCGTTTTCCCTCTAGATATTAAAATCTCCATAAAAAAAAGGGGAAAAACAGCAGATCCACCCCCTAGAGCTAGAATCACACAACTTGCTTTCATCAATATTCCAAGTAGACGAGAACAAAAAATAAAATTATTCCAAACAAGTATAAACTGTTTCGACAAACGTAATGGGTTGAGTTAGGTATCATTAAGTATTTCTGATGATAACTCATATGTTTAATTGACTGCAAAACCTAAACTAGTATCTTTTAATCATGGTACCTCGTCAACTGCATTGAATAATTTTTCTACACTTTGAGATATTAACTGTGTGATGATCGAATGTGACATTATTTCCAAGTTTAAAAAAAAATGAAATAAAATTGTGACATGTTCAGGATTATTAAAAAAAAAAAAAAAAAAAATACATACAACATATAATAAACCGTCGTTGGGCCAGTAGGTTCATGGCTCTAATTTGTAATGTCGCTTGTAAGAAGGACCTGATCTTTCTACAAGACTATGACCAGAATAGACTTGATAAGCCCGCTATTATACTTTCGGTGGGCTACCCTGAAGATTGAACAACAATCCCATTGTTGTCAATAGTCAATAATAGATACATTCAACACTACCGAATCTAATTATTTCACAAACTGCAGATAGTGTGTTGTATTGAAAATAGCTCTATCATTCTAGTCTCTGTGAGAGAGAGAGAGAGGGGTACAAAATTCCATTCTATTTCATTTCTCCTATTCTTCAATATATATATATATATATATATATATATATATCTCAAAACGAAGGGTTAAATTGGTTGCGTGAGAGACTCAAAAAGTCAACTATGAAGTAGACAAGAGATACAAATAACTAGAAGTCAATACTCCTTACGCTCTTTGTATCCTCTTCAACTATGGAGTATTTGATTTCTTCATTAGTGCATGTAATATTTGTAGCTACATGATTCTCCGGAAAGATTTATTTCGAATTTGAAAAAATGTCAAAAATATTAAAAACACGCGCAACGTATGGGCATAATACTAGTGAAGATAATATCAGGCAATTAGAATTGGCAATAACATGGAAGATTGGCCCTAGACCATTGTGAAAGTGCGACAAGAATTCAGTTAAGTGACCTCACCTTTATATGTCACTTCACTTTTTTATTAATGTGATTAAAATTCCCATCAAGGGGAAACTTTTTGTGTGGGCGGGATTGTGTGACCTACACACATCATATAATTCATAATTGGTGTGGCATTAATAATATAGTTAAGGAGGAAAAAAGAAGGTGGAGAATGTTACAAAAGGGCTGATTCTGTCATGCGATAATTACACACGTATGGATGTGAAACTGAAACCCAACCATGAAACTATAGCTATAAAATTATGATCACAAGTCAAATTGTAAGGTTCAGTTTTGTAGTAAGATTATGATCACATTTGTAGGTTAGCCGTTATCGATATTAATGAGGCACGCAGATGTAATTTAAGTCTGACTTGTGATATCTGACAAACATTGGGTTCTCTTGTTTTTTGTCTTTTAAAGCTAGCATCTCTTATCCCATATTCAGATCCAATTTGTCTTTCTTTGGTAAATCTGAACACACAAACAATTTTTGGAATGCCAGCAAAAGAAGGGACAAAAACAAGAAGATCGGCCAATACAGTACCTCAACGGAAATTGTGATGGGCTTGGAATAAGACTGGTGTTCTCAATTTGTTGGCGGTTCAACAATTTGGTTTCCAATTTTACATAATTTTAATGACACTAATAGTGCAAGATAAAAGCTAGCAAAAGGATGATGGGAAATGTTGGTGGGCAGCCATTCGTTAATGGACCATAATTAGCCGATTTAGTACCTTTAAAAAGTACTCAATCTGTCCTAAAATTATTGTCCAGTTTGAAATTTCACTTTTAGTATAATTTGAACTAAAAATGAAAATACAGACTGGACAATAATTATGGGACGGGGGGAGTAATATTTTAGTTTATAATCAGGTAAGCGAAGAACAATAAGTGACTAGAATATAATAAAGTAGTATATTCAACATCACTTTTGCAATAAAAGTTCGGAAATTTTGGGAGCAATGTTACAAGTACACTTGAGCGTTGGGGAATATAATGAATTTTAGGGAAATGGAAACAAGAATTTCACAAATTCTGGTGCATTATTACCCACTCATTAGACAGTGTGTGTTCTTTTATCTTTCCCCAAAACTTACAATAGGAAATTTACGGAAATGCCGCTAAAAATGTGAGTATGGGCCATAAGGTGGGAGAATTATGCGGGAGTAATATATTCAAAAAAATATATGGAAAAGATGGGGGGGAATAATTGAAGTGGTTCGGGCTGTAAATGGGCCCGGAAGAGAATAAAGGCCGTTGAACCGACGTTGTTGCCTAAACCATCAACCAATCAAGTTATTAGGTTGGGGATCTTTATAAGCAGAATTAAGACGCAGTTAATTCCATACTTATTTTTCTTCTTTTCTAAATTGATGATGGTATTGCGAAGGATTGGTACAGAAAACAGATTGATGTCACCCTCAGCCCCCATTCATGATGTAATTTCTAGCTTCCACTTTGATGGATATGTTGTAGTAATGTGATCATAAATTCATCATGCATGCATAATAAAAGTGTAAATTTCCATGAAAAAAAGCATAATTTTGCATGATGAATCATTTTTTTGTCTTGAGAATTTGTGTTTTTTGGTTTGCATATACTGGAATTAAAGTGAATTTATGAGTTCACTTTGGAACCTTCCAACTGGATAACCAACAAAATGCGCTTGCGAATCTCTTCCAATGCGTGTGTAAATATTTGCTTATATAAGCTGCAATGATTTTTAAGTAGTAGCTTAGAACCCCGGTTGTCAGAGATACGGTGGATTTCTTTATTCTTTTAGTTTTTGTTTCTAAAATGGGTTCCCAATGTAACTGTCTACAGGTCTACACTGTGGCAAAGAATTCAAACTAGTATTATTTGTTGCTCAATTTACCAAAATCCCTTGCTTCCTCCCTAGCCTAACCAGAAAATAAAATCAACAAAATCCCCTAATTGATTAAGGCATCTTGATTTAAAAGTTTTCAATTTGACCAAGCAGATCCAATGGCCACCAAAAGTGTTAAGGAAATGCGAGTGATCCCAAATGAACAATTTTATAATCCCCCTATGATTTGGGGTGGAATCCGAGGTTAATTTTGTTATGGATTTCCGAGTTTTGTTTCTTTTCACCAACTAATAATAGAAAGGATACATAATGAGATTTGACAATTCTTACTATATCAGATCAATTGATTACTAGTACTCCATCTATTCTAAAATATATGTCGCTAGAGGAGTTTCACAAAGTTTAAGGGGACAATTATTATTTAGTTAAAATACTAAATTATCCCCATTTATTCTTACAATTCTATTTTCAATATCAATTAGTTCTAATACACTTCTACTTTAAATACAATTACAATTTCCCATGTAGAAGTAATTTTGGAAGAATTTGACAAAATATGTTTAGATATGCGAAAACAACATTTATTTTGAAAAAAATAGGTTTTCCTTCAACGACAAATATTTTGAAATCGAGGGAGTAATAGTTTAAGTAAGGGTAAAGAATTTCACCTAAGAAACCTACAATTGTCATCAAGCAACCGTGAGCAACATGAAACGAATCATCCTTAACAGCGAAGCTTTTGTCCAAATCAGGCAATCAATAAAATTAAGCAAACATTAGTACTAGTTGTATATTATTCTGACGTCCCAAAATTATTGTTTAATTTTGATTTTCATTTCTACAAAATATACTAAAAGTGAAAATCTAAATTGCACGGTAATTTTGGGATAGAGAAAGTATGTCGTTTTGATGAATTAGGATACGAATACGACATGACATCCAACATGTTAGTGTATGAATATGCAATTTGAACCAAAGAAAGTGCAGTTTGCCAATAAGATGGAAGAGTCCTGCTGGGTAGTAGTACTCAATCAATCAATCAATTAATATAAGTCAAACACAATCACTTGCATCGTTGTATCAAGCTAAGCAACTCAAATAATTAATCTAGGTTTTGACGTAAGATCGCCACACCAAGTTTATACTATATTGCTAATATATTTGATGACAATTTCCTATAAACTTCTGACTTTTTAATCTTTTTTGTAACGTTTATATTTTGTCATTAGCCATTTTTTTTAGACATGTAAAAACTGGTTTAATAATTTGTTCACAACATTCGGTCAGAGACAAGCATTGAAGCTAAAAATTATTACTTTCAACCATCTAATTTGAACAACCCGACATGAGCAATTACTTGTCATTCAATTCGCTTATTTGGTGAGTGGTAAGTACCACACTCTTCATAACACAAAATCTTGAAGTCTAGCTGTTTTCTCACATGCAAAATTTTTCATTGTTGGTCTCTCAACATTTGCACCCACTTTCATCAGTTTCATTTCATTTGACCACCTAATAATAATGCATAATCAAACCCCGTTTATCATAAAATTTTTAATACTTATTGATATTGAATCAAAGATGATAACGTACACCAAAGAACCAGTCAAACAGATATGAAGGGTTGATTTAAAGAAAAAAACAAATGTTCATTGCGAATCCCTTTTGGTAAATTTTTGCAGAACGTTAATCATTATGAGTTATGAGTAGTGAAAGATGAAGATGCTAGTTGTGACTAAAGTAGTGCTATCTAAATTTTCCTATTTTTCTTATTTTATACTCCCTCCGTCCCATAATTATTGTCCAGTTTGGACTTTCACGTTTAGTATAATTTGAACTAAAAATGAAAACTCAAATAGGACAATAATTATGGGAGGGAGGGAGTATACAAACTCTCTCACTACTAACAAATTGTAACTGCAGCAGAACACGTTTGGATTTGGTAAACCCTAATCAATTGTTATTTAAAAAAAAAAGAAAGAACAAAAACCCCAGCAAAAGAATTGAAAGAAAAGATTAAAAAAAAAAAAAAAGAGAGAGAGAGAAGGAAAAGTATGAAATGAAATAAAGAAATTCTGACAGAACATAGAACTGTTCAAAACACAGCCAATCCCAATTCAGAAACTCCATTTCTCTTTCTCTCTCTTCTTTACTTTCTTTTTCTTTTTTCTTTCCCTCCCTCTCTTTATTAACATTGTACTTTTGTGTCATTCCGCCATTCTTTTCAGTCCCTCTTCTTTCTTTCCCTCTCTCTATTTCTGTGTAAGCAGAGATTTGCAGAAGAGAATGGACAATAAGAACATCTTCGAATGAAACCTACTCTCTAGTTTTCTCCAAACTCTCCAAACCTTAAAACACACAAAACCTTTTTTCTTCTGACATTCCCACTTCAAAAATCCAATGGCTGCTTTCACTTATTACATTGCAGCCATTCTCCTAATCCTGCTTCCGGCCGTAACTTTCTCCGACATCGCCTCTGACCGGGCAGCCCTCTTGGCACTTCGCTCCGCCGTCGGTGGTCGGTCAAACCTATGGAACATCTCGGAACCCAACATCTGTGTCTGGGCCGGCGTTGCTTGTTCCCGGGACCACTCCACCGTCGTAGAACTCCATCTCCCCGGAGTGGGACTTTCCGGCGTCGTCCCTCCCAATACTATTGCCAACCTTACCAACCTTCAAACCCTTAGTCTCCGGTACAATGCATTAGTTAGCCCTCTCCCTTCTGATCTCGGCAAGCTCACCAATCTCCGGAATCTTTACCTTCAACACAATCTTTTCAATGAATCAATCCCTGATTTTCTCTTCTCTTTCATCAATCTTGTAAGGCTGAATCTCGCAATGAATAGCTTTTCAGGGCCTATCACAACGTCTTTCAATAATCTGACTCGATTAGGAACACTTTATTTGGAGGAGAACCAGCTTTCCGGCCCACTCCCTGATTTGAATATTCCCGGGTTGGTTCAGTTCAATGTTTCCAATAACAATTTAACCGGTCCGATTCCGAAAGCCATTGCCGTCAAGAATCCAAAGAGTGCATTTGTGGGGACTTCTCTATGTGGTCAACCGTTGAATGATCTTTGCGATAATGGAGTTGGACACGATGGGGGCAAAAAGAAGAAGAAGAAGCTTTCAGGAGGTGCTATTGCTGGCATTGTGATAGGCTGTGTTGTTGGGGTCCTACTCATTTTATTACTTCTCCTTTGCTTGTGTAAAAAGAGGGGAAATAAAAATGCTGCCCCTGTTGCATCAAAGTCTGTTGAGGCCGGAGTTAAGGAAACGGCGGTTGAAATTCCGAGGGAAAAATCGGTGGAGAGTGTAGAGAGAGATGGATTGGGTGGAGGGTTTGCTGCAATTGGTGCGAAAATGAAGGATAAGGAGAAAGTGGAAGGAGGCAATGTTGGAGGAAAGAGTTTAGTATTCTTTGGGAAAACTCCCAAAGCATTTGATTTGGACGATTTATTGAAGGCTTCTGCTGAAGTCTTGGGGAAGGGGACTTTTGGTACTGCATACAAGGCAGGGCTTGAGACTGGAATCACTGTTGCTGTCAAGAGGTTGAGAGACGTCGTTGTAAGTGAGAAGGAGTTTAGAGAAAAGATGGATGGAATTGGGAAGATGGATCATGCAAATTTGGTGCCTTTGTTGGCTTATTATTACAACAGGGAGGAGAAGCTGCTTGTTTATGAGTATATGCCCATGGGTAGCTTGTCTGCTCTTTTACACGGTATGAAAGCAAATCATCTCAGATTTCAGCTCTTCATTTTTATTTTTTTTGCTGAATCCATTCGTATCTGTTTCCTTCACATACGTGTTTGAACTTTGAGGCTCTTTTCCCCCTTCTTCATTAGCCTTCTTTGCTTCTCTGAGAGAATGTATCTATTCCCTTGATTTCTTTCTGGTGATTGCTAAGTGATCGTGTCATGGTTAGAGTGGTGTAGAAAGTTGTCTAACAGTAATTTTTAATGTGAGTTCAAGTCTTGAGTCCCTTTGCTTTTGTCTGTTTCTTCTTGGTGTTTCGACTGGAATGTGTAATGATTGATGTCGGTTAATGTTGTTCTATTCCCTTAACAAGAAAAAAAGGGGTAAATGTGGTTCTATTCAGTTGAACATTATTGGAAGTCTCACTTAGGCGCTGTCAATGTTGCATTGTTCATTTGCTTCTCTTTTCATAGTAGCTTCTATGTTTCTGTAGTTTTTCAGTTATCAGAAATTCACTATTTCACTATCATACATAAATGAAAAAGTTTCCCTGGTTAGCTGATGAATATTTTTTGTATGTATTGTCTATTTGATGTAGGAAACAAAGGGTCTAGTAGAACACCACTAAACTGGGAAACCAGGGCCAACATTGCTCTTGGAGCTGCCCGTGGCATCACATACCTACATTCACAGGGCTCTTCTCATGGAAATGTCAAAGCATCAAACATTCTCCTCACAACAACATACCAAGCCCGTGTATCAGATTTCGGCCTAGCTCCGCTTGTTAGTCCAACCCCGACGCCCAATCGCGTCGCCGGATATAGGGCGCCGGAGGTAACGGATGCTCGGAAAGTCTCCCAGAAAGCTGATGTCTACAGCTTTGGTGTATTGCTATTAGAATTGCTGACTGGTAGAGCCCCTACACATGCGTTGGCCAATGAGGAGGGAGTTGACCTTCCCAGGTGGGTCCAATCTGTGGTTCGTGAAGAGTGGACTAATGAAGTGTTTGACCTTGAACTCTTGAGATATCAAAATGTTGAGGAAGATATGGTTCAGCTCTTGCAACTTGGTATTGACTGCACTGATAACTACCCTGATAAACGGCCTTCAATGCCCGAAGTTACCGAAAAGATTGAAGAACTCTGCCGGACTTTTAACTCGCAGGATTCAACGGGAATCATGGAAGACGCATAAGAGAAGTAGTAGGCCTGATTCTTTTTTTCCTTAATTCTTCCCCCCTGATTTGTTAAAGCGCCTTCTTTTCTGCTACTTGATGTGGTTGTTTATTCTTGGAAGTTCTTTTCAGTGAGGGTAACTGTGCATTTCTTCTTCTCATCATTCTTCTTTGGAATTTTTTTTTTTTTTTTTTTTGGGGTGAATCAGAATTTTCCCCTGCTTTCTATTTTTTCATACAGGCATTTTATCTGAGGATTTTGGACACTTTGGGATCTGATTGAATGTAAAAAAATAGCTATCAAATTCTTGGTTTTGGGCAAATCAAAGTTGTGTAGTTACAAATTTCTTTATCTCATATTTTGTTTGGATGTGCCAGAAATGATTAATATATGTGACAGTGACACCAAAGTTCCAGCAATGCCATGTGAGTTTATTCTACAACGTTCTTCTTCTTCGTCATACATACAGCACTAGTAGATTATTTAGAGACCAATAACTGCCGACTGTCACTCAATTTAGGAATCAACGAATAGAATTTAGAACATGGAGAAATGAATATTCAATGTTGAGACTTATTAATAACTTGCCGGTGGGGGTAAGAAATTTGGACAGCCTAGCTTTACTCTAAATTTGGACAATGGGGACTAGCCTAACATGTTGTGTTCTCTGTTGAACTACGACCTAGATGCATCGTATCGTGTTGTACTCTTTTTTACAGTATTTTTTGTTTCTACCTCATAATTTAGTTTTTAATTAAACCATTTGACGGTCCTTTAGGAAAATGTTGCCAGATTGTCACACCGGACTCTAAGGCTTTGTTTGTTAGATTTTTTTTAATGATATTTTCAAAATATTTAAATAATAATTATCCAACTCCAGCATATCTTTTTACATTTCCAATACATTTTTTTACATTTTCAATACAAAAAACAACTAAAAACACACACTAAAAAAACAAAATAAACATACCCTAATTGTGTATCTTTGCAAAAAAGTAAAAATAAAAATAAAAGAAATCAAGCACATTTATTATGATCTTTATCCATTCCATTATTTAATTTCCTTCTCTTTTTCCTTTTAAGAAAGCTGCTACCAACGCTTTTTAGAGAATTTCTTTTAAGTCTGGGTTGGGTTGGTGGTGATGGGTCTTTAGTTTTGCAACAATAATAATCACTTTGTTAAAATTTTTAAATCCAACTGAACAACAAGTTGGAAGAACTTTTTCCTAGGAACTTTGTTGGAATTTGGAAAACATTTGCTTCGTCTAAACGCATGTAACCAAGAAGTAGTCGAGTCCTTTTCCACATTTGTTTGTTAATAATAGTCGAAGCGAAGGTAAGTTTGAGTGCCCTTCCGTCTTTTCGTCGATCGTTATGCATTAACAGATTTCAATGAAGACATGGTATCGGAATTCCGGGAACCCACCCACATTTGTCCCTCCAAAATGCAACAATTTAGGACTTAAGCATACTCATATTTCTATCACCAGAAATTAGTTGTGTCTTACCTAAAATTCGACATAATTGCCCATGTGTAACTAAAAATGTAACTCCATTCATCCTTCTTAATGATAACTTAGAAGACCGGGGAGGGGAGGTAAGCAATGAAGAGGTCCCGTAGGTGTGACAATTCTTGGTTATCAAGAATAATTATGTAATAAGTAGTATAAATATGTGTAAAGAGCACAAGTCAGGTTTAGTCAACCATCAAGTTAGCATCAGTTCAATTCCTCAAATCTCAGCTTAAAAAAGGTTGTGTAGTTCAAGTAGAGTTGACCAATGCAAATGATACTACTGTACTTCAAGCGCTGAAGATGTTCGGGTTCAATACCTGCTTGACTGAAACCGACTCTGGGTATGAGTTTTAAGAATAGCATTCCTCAGATGAGAAATGTGATAATAAAAAGCTAACAACCATAAGATATGAATACGTTACATTACAATCCTTCAAGTCTATAATTAATCAACTCGAGGATTTAGCTTTATTTGTGCGATTCCAAACTATATATAATGCAACAACATTAATCAGTTCGGATTTACGCAGAACCCATTTGTAGAACAACAATCAATAATAGTAAGAAAAAACATGGAACATGATTAATAAATCAAATATTACAGAAGGAAGCAGGGGAAAGCAGCAAAAAACTTATCCAGATTCCCTTGGAAACCTAAGCAGCAAGTTCTACCACCCTGTTCCTTCTCAGTTATCTCACTGACTTGGAATGCTTAATGAGCCAATCGATGACTACATCAATGTTTATAGACTCCTTGCAAGAGATCATATAGCAGCAAACTTCTCTATCGGTTATGGAATCAAGACCCCTGTCAAATCAAAACCAAGAATTGTCCAACATCTGTCACACTCATTGACAAATAAAAACATCAGATACTTCAGGAGAAAAACTCGAAATTGTAGTGCGCTAACTTACAGTTGATCCACTAACGCTTGCTTTGAAAGAGCCTCCGATTTGTCTATCTTATTGCCAAGAACCAGCAGCGGTATACCAGCAAGAGAAGGTTTCTTCAAAAGATCATGTAGCTCACTTTTAGCTATAGGAACACTGTCTCTATCCGCAGCATCAACAACATATCTGCGTTGGTGAGAGTACAGATGAGACAAAGTAAATCACACTGACTTACGAATTCTTGTACCAAAATGAGAAAGCATTGATGGCAACCCGGAGCAAGGAAACCCCTATGTTATGCAGATAGGAATGTATGGAGATAAGGGAATTACAGAATTGCAGAGACACCTCGGCAGTATCGTTCCCACATGGTGCGGAACCTGCGTTGTCCTCCAAGATCCCAGAGCTTTATCGTAACATTTCCTTTTGTCACTTTACGCATATTAAAACCAACCTAATTTAGATTATACAGAAATCTAAGTCAGAATTAACTTAGGGATATATGATGATATACTCACTTCAAAGAACAAGATACTTACAGTTGGAATCATGTCCTCACTGTACCCTCCTGTCTGGTAAAAATCAAATGATATAATGAGACTATGAGGAGCAAGAAAATGACAGAAAAACGAGCAATAGAGGAAGGGATTTACAAAAGACTTACAGCAACAGCATTGACGAGTGATGTCTTTCCTGCGTTCTGGAGCCCTATAAGGGAAAGTTCCATTTCTTGTTTGAAGAATAGGCTGAATTGACAATTTCAGGAGATCATATTGTCAGCAGCAGCATTATAGATATTGCAAAACTACATTGATACAAGCTAAAAGAACATCAGCACACACATTTTCGGGTCTTGCCACACATGGTCAACCACTAAACGAAGGTGATTAAATTGCCCATAATATTAGAGTGATTAGTTGGATATCGAGCTACTTTAATCATCATCATTCGAATGGATATTACGCAAGGAGGTTGATAGAGGCACAACCTAAATCTTTAACTTCCTTTGTCACCATAAGAGTGCACATTATGATCAATTTTCTAGCTTTTAGATATGCACACATTCTTTCTAGCCATTAGATATCTTAGGGACTAAACTCAACCTCATACGATTACACCTGCAGTTTTTCCCAGAGCATCCCCAGTTTATGTCCCATCTAAACCCTATCCTGCCAGTTTCCCCACACCCTCAAAAAACAGAACACATATTTAACCCCAATTCCCTAAAAAGGGGGAAATGATTACTGATTACAAGTCCGATTAGTCCACACCGTATAAGGCATACAGTCCATCCCAACACAAAATTCCAGCAAATTCTCACATAATTCCTCCTTTTAGCAGCTCTAAGAAACCCTTAAAATTTCTATTCTAATCTTGAATAATGGGAAAAATTAAACCTTTCCAATCAGCCGCTTTGTCTTTATTCCAGCTTCCATGAGTTTTCAGCCGAAGGGTTCATACTAAAATCATATCCAATCTTTTCTATAAAACTACTGCTAAAAAAAACAGTCTAGGAATACGAACAGGGATAGGAAACAGAAATCAAGAAAGTCTCAAGGAAAAACATAAATAGAATAAAACAAGAAAAAGAAAAGCTACCTTCTCAGCCAATTAAGGAAGGAATCCCAGAGACCCATTTGCAACAAAAGCTGTTGAACTCAGGAGGAATGAATTGGGCAAGTAAAGGTTGAAGACGATGAAGAAGAAAGAGGAGAAGCGAGTTGCCGTTGGAGGAAGCTTTCTCGATGTTTCGGACAAAACTAGGACGGCATACGAAGGAAAGAAAGCTGCCCGTTGGAAGAGACTAGAGAGTAAAAGGCAAAAAAAAAAAAATTAAAACCCGCAGTAACTTCGCGACCTCAAAACAGAATCCACACTACTTCATTTGTTGTTGTTGTTGCTCTCGTCCAGAATGTTGGAAATGAGTTGATGAACCCAGTAAGTATTGTACCTCGTTTTGTTTGTTGGGGTTTTTTTGTTTTGTGGCACGAAATTGCACTGGGAAAATCAATGGCGGACCACAAACATTTTGTGGTGCTATTCTACTGTCAATATTTGTATAGTCTGGCCCATTTCTGATGTAGAAGGAGCTGATTTTTATTGGGCCTTAGTGAAGGCAAACAAGGACTATCTGCATGAAGCTGAAACGTTATGTTACTATCCACCCATTTATGATATCGGGAAGCTGGGTTTTTTTTTTTTTTTTTTCTTTCTTTCTCTTCTTTGGGTACATTCAACTATGATGTAAGAATATAATTTTGGAGTTTGGTTGGTGCTCAACATACATATATTTTTATCACTCCCATATGACTCTCTTGCTACACAATAGTACATGGACAACAATGAATAATTTATCGTAAAAGTGCCGCTGCATTTTGAGGCTTTTAGAAATTTAAACCAGCCCTCAAGTGATGATCATCACACTTGATATGGACCTAAACAAAGCCCAATCCAACACATTTTCACAATCCAACTCTGTTTGGAAGGTTTTTTTTTTTTTTTTTTTTTATAAATTTTTTAAAATAATTAAAGAATAACTGTCACATCCTAGACTACCTTTTACAATTTCAAATCTTTTTTTTTTTTTTATATTCTTAATATAAAAAAATACACACTGAAAAAATGATCCCAACATAGAGTTATAACAAATTGTTTGTCCTTTTTGTTCTAAGAGAAAATTTCCTTGATCCTGTTCCAACAAGTTTAGAAGATGATGAATGTGAAAAAAAAAACATCGAGGATGGAATAAAGGGATGTGTTTGTTTGTTTTACTTTACAAGTTACGACTATGTAATGATATTTGACTATTTGAGTCAGGATGTAACACAGAGTCGATATCAGACAAGTACTTGGCACTTTTTATATACTTGTATATGGTGAAGGAGCCAAAAAAAGAAAATGAGTGAGAAGGAAAATTTGTTCCGACGAACATTTACTTCGTCAATGAGGTAAGTCTGGTTGTTTTATCAGGAGGATCAGGATATTAATGCAGGAAAACGCGTGAAGCCCTTTTCATCGGGGTGATATCTGATCCAGCTATTCAGCTAGTGCTATGTTTTGGGAGTTCATTTTATACTAGAATTGCTTTTATTTGAGAGATTCTGTCTCTCTTTCGATTATTCAATTTTGAAGGCCTTTTACATGTCCTCTGTTCTTGCGTTTGGTAGTTGGCGTTCACATTTGGACTAGTATGCTAAATACAGCTACTTCACTCCATAACTTTCTTTTTTTTTTTTTTTTTCTAAGAAACAATGGAACCCAACAAAACCAGTGTTAGGTAATTTTATTCACTCATTTTGCACTTGTTTTTGGTAATTTGCCTTTACCAAACTTTTCTAACTAGCTAGATAGTCTTGTTGCCTGACATAAGTAGGGCGGCAACTTGATCGTGCTGAAATTTCCAAAGTATGAGACAAACCTAACATGTTTTTAATTTTTTGGGCCCTAAGTTCATGTTGGATTCTTGTATTTTGTGAAAGAACCGGTTAGATTCATGTTTGTGATAATGGATAGATTTGTTTTTGAGTCATGTTATCACAAATTGTTATTTCTAAATCGTATAACACACTATAAGATATAATACTGAAATGAAAAATAATACTACTTCCGTCCCAAAAAAATAGTTTACATTGAGTTTACAAATTTGTACTAAAAATATTATAAAACTCAAAACTCAATATGAATTATTTTTTTTGGATGGAGCCATGGAGGTAGTATTAAGGTTTGTCAATGTATACAATACAAGTGATGAATCGAGAAAGAGTAGTAGAAAAACAAAATTAAGGTCAACAAGCTTAAGCATCTTGGATTAACTATACCTATAAGTATTTCTTTTAAACAAAACACCGATCTTGTTTGAATTTTCGAATGTCACGAGGTTTGTACTCATCGAAGGGCTTTGAATTTTGAATCTGTGTTGAATTGTATATGCTCTTAGCTGTTGTTCCTCAAGAAAACGAGATCACTTTAATATTAGAAAAAACGAGTAACAATAATTATCTTATCCAGGTTGCAAATATATATATATATATATAGTAATTCATTTAATACGTTCCTGTAATATCTCGGTCATATGAAACCATTTGACTTTTTTGTCTTTGCTTTTGTTAGCAAAATGGTGCTCAGTTTAGAAATCAAAGCGTCTTGTTTGTTTTCAGTTTTTTCTCTCTTTTATTACGAGGGAGACTTTGAATTTCTAGGTTGCACTAGAATATCGTTTAATACAGAGTAATTTGATCTCTTAGAAGTCAAATATTGTTAAGGGATCAATATGAACAAGATAAACAAATTGCCGTATCATAATGTAGCAACCTTATTACTCCCTCTCCGTCCAACAAAAATAAAATAACATAAATAAAAATTACTCTTTCCGTCTCATAAAAATAATCTAAGTTTTTTATGTTATAAATTATACTAGTAGAATTTACCGTGTGGAATATTTTTTAGAGATTCATGACAGCTTTCACTACATTGAATTACAACAATCCATTTTGTTGTCGGAGTTATATTAAAATGACACCCCACTAGGGATGAAAAATCTATTTTATCCATAATAACAATAATAATAATAATAATAATAATAATAATAATAATAATAATAATAATAAAAATGCATTATTCTTGGAGGAATTCAAAAAATATCAGGCTACATCATATACCCAGAAGCAGCAAAGCAAGCATAGATTTAGAAAAATACATCATTGTTTCTTGTATTGGTTTTAAAGCGAAAAAATTACGATATTTCCTGTAAATTTTATTTTGCTTACGTGATTGGAACACAATTTGATCGAGAATTTTTACTTATGGGCGCATCTTAGTTAAGGATTGGCCCTTCTTCTAAAAAAGGGGGAAAAGAAAAAAAGGCTATTGACATTCTTTTCAAGAAAAATAACAAAAATAAAGGCAACAATTTGTCGTCTTAGAGTTATTTATTTTTCCAGTATTTTTGTTAAAGTAAGCAAATGAGGAAGTTTATATATATACTGTACATGTATAGTACTGTAAATTTGTTAACTAATCGTATCAAACTCACCCGCTCATTTTTAACACTTCACTTTGAATAATTAAACAGTACATAAAATGAACTCTTATATCTTAAAACAAAAGTGGAGTATAGTAAATTGAACATGAAGCACTAATTATTTAAACGTTTACTTGGAGTTGAACTTTTTTATGGGATGCAGGAGATGGCGAAATATATAACGTAAAATATTGCATACGAACTTGCTACGAACCTTCTTGCAAGCATAATCAGCCCATCGACAGCCAGAAATTTGATTAACGGCCCCCAAAAAAAAAAAGAAAAAGAAAAATTGACGTTACATCATCTTTTTGACTAAAAACCACGTACAAGATCTTAGCGTTCTTAAATTTCTCAAATTTCGGCTGTTAATGTTTTTACGCTTTGTACGGAGGCAAAAGAATTCAATTATTTGTTCCATTCCAAAATCATTAACGTGTTTATTGTATTATTTTTGTTTAATAAATCGATAATTATATAAAAATAGAGAGAGTATATTTCTCAAGCATGCATATAGTTAGAACCCTATTGGCTAATTTCTAGTTCTAATAATTATAAATAAACTAGATACAGAATTCAACTTCTATATCAAGAAAACAACCCATCGAATTCATTCTAGGAGGAAAAGAAATAATATGATCAGTTTCTTTCGTTTCGAAAAGAAAAGATTACGGTAAAAGCTGTGTCCAATTTAATTCTAAGCGTAAGTGATAGCAAAATATATGATATATATAATACTGCCATGAGTCTAATGAGCTCATATCTTTGAAGTATTATTACCTGCCTGCTTGCCATGCAAGATTACTTCTCAAGCTGTCCAATATTATGTTTTGAACTATTCAACCAACAGCTATCCCCAGTATTACCTTTTGAATTCCAAAAGTAGTTTCCGACCAACGTTATAATAATATGTCTATATTTTTCTTCATTTAATTGTACAATTTACTTTATGAATTCAGAAAGGTTATCCGAGCAACGTACAGGCTGGCCTAGTCAGTATTATTTTTAATTTATTTTTTGGAAAAAAAAATGTATATAAAAGTACTTGAACGGGAGGAGAAGGGCGGAAAGTAAAAGATAATGAATTCATATAAATTAAAATTCAGAATGCAAAATGATGAGTTTAAGATGCTTACTGTGAGGAGATGATGTTAACATGATGTCAAAAGTACGTCTTGTTCTCGTAACTCAATGAGATGGACACAAAATCTACATTTATATACACTTGGTATTAATTAATAATTAGCATGTTACAAGATACACCATTTATAACCAATCGATCGAAGGCAAAAAATTGTTTGCTTCCCCGCAAAGGTACTACTATAATTAAATCTTTAATTACTGCGTGAAATCTTAGTAGTACAATTTCAAATGACACTGCTTATGATGCTAATCACCTACCTTGTTAAATTATTAATTAGTTTACCAAACAAATTGACTGAAGCGGGTTAAGCAAAAAAAAAAAAAAGAAGAAGAAGAAGAAGAATTCGAAGAAGAAGAAATAGATACTCAGTCAAATGAGTTTTGCATTCTAAGCCAATCATCAATCTTCGGAAAGCAAGAACTTTCAACTGGAATCTTGTTAATTATCAATGGAAAGAGCAAAGAAGTGTCCTGAGCCCGGATAAGATCATCCTCACTTAAAAAATAAAAATAGAAATAGTGCAGTAACCCCAAGAAGGATGGATCCCGACATAACGACATTTTTACCGGGGAAGGCATTTCTCTTAAAAAAGAATGTCGTCATTTTGTTTTACCTCTAAATTGATCGGAATCGAATTAGAATGACTCTAAATGTAATATTAGTCGGACATCTATTTGATTTCCTATAAAGGGGGGAAAAAAAAAGAAGCAAAGTAGTATATATACTAAAAAATGTCAAATGTTACATACGTTAACGTGCTACGAACCTAATTACTTAGGAACTTGCATCTGAAAAGAATATATGTGGGCTAGACATTGTTCATGGCCAACAATTTCAGCTCCATTGGTACGAAACTATGATGCTGTGGTGCAGAGAGCGGTTAATTTTTCTCATTTGATGACTTTGAGGAGCTTAATCAAGTAAATATCCACCAAGAAAATTATTTAAACATTTTCTTAGTAGCTAGGGCAGATTTTCAAGATGAGGTCATTCTTTCATTAAGGAAAAATTATCAATATTGTGGACCAGAGATGACTGGCTAATGAATGCTGTGGTAGAAAATCTTATAATTACACGGGGTCTTTGAAGTTTACAACCTTAATATTTGACTCTGATGCAAAAAATGGGGTCTGGCCAGGCATAGGGCTCCATTTTTGTAAGGCTAGCCTGAGCCTTAAGTTAAACTTTGGGTGGGTACTTAAGAGGAAAAATGTTTGACAAAAAAAGAAAATATCTAAACATTACTGTCACAAAACATTACTATCATATATTGACCTTGCATCTGTAGTTTACCGTCTACGAATAGCTACTCAAAACCATTTGCCAAAACTAAACCTAAAAGAAGAACAAAGTATTTCTAAAAATGAATTTGAACTTGATCCATAATGCAACTCTAAATAGGACAATTTCAGTTGCAGCGTTAAAGACATCTTTCACATTTTTTTATAATTTATAACAGAGTTTCTTTTTTTTAAAAAAAAATTATTCTCAGAAGATTAAAAAATTGATCAAATAAGATGCATCGTAATATTTAATCAAATATGAGCCTATATGACTGTTACTGTCAAGAATTATGAAGATTTTAAAAGGGGAGATAGAATTAATTCATAAGCCGGAAAACATTATGTTTAACCATAAAAAAAAAAAAACTAAAAGTAGTATTTAGTGAGTATATATTTGAATATAACACGTTCAAGTTTGGACCAAAAAGAGAAGGAACATTTTGCTTCGCATATACGGTGGTGGGGACCAAAAAGGTAGAGTACAAAACATAATGCTTTATCCTGCAACTATAATGTGACACCGATTCTATTGCCTAAATCTCCACAAATTCTGCAATACAGAAATTCATTATTTTATGAAAAATACCGGAAAAAGAAAGGATTTGCGACATATATTCGACTTGTAATCCCTTTTCCTCCTCACGCTGATATATATATATATATATATATATATATTTTTACATTTTTATGCTTCAGTTTTAAGTAAAGCAGGCTTTTGGGTGGTGAAGTGGCACTTTCTGAAAGGTATACTACTGTTTCCCGCGCGACAACGGGCTGTGTTATTCTTACTCCTCAACACGTGTGGGTACAAATTTGTTTCGACTTAACTCTTTTTTTTTTCCTAAAAAAAAAATAAAAAATCATAAGACGGTCCATTTTCCAACAATTCTATTTAATATTTCCGTGTTTATATTTTTCAGAGTAGCCCATGAATTCAACTTTGTCGCACTATAAATATGTAGGTAGCTCCTTTGTGCCTGTTCCTAGTCCCCCTTAGCCAACCTGTGTTGTTTTTTCTCTTACATCCAAATTCAAAGCAACGGTTCAGAGCTTTACCCTCGGGTTTTGAATATATCCTTACACTCTAACCCATCATTTCATCATCACTTCGATCAAGTTTTTTTTTTTTTCTTCTTCTTTGAGCTGAGAATTCGGAAACACGGATCAGTAAGATGGGAAGGCAACCTTGCTGTGATAAAGTCGGGTTGAAGAAAGGTCCATGGACAGCTGAGGAAGACAAGAAACTCATCAACTTCATTCTTACTAATGGCCAATGCTGCTGGAGGGCTGTCCCTAAGCTTGCAGGTCTCCCCCATTTTTCTTCCAAATTCTTACTATTCATTTGCAAAACGGGAAAGTTTTTAGCTGATAATGTAACCCCATAAAAAACACAGTAACATGAATTCAGTAGTCATTTGCTTGACATTTTGAAGCAAATCCTTCTTGTTTTTTTTTTTTTTAATTTTTCTTCATCTTGTTTAATTTTTGGGTGAAGAAAAGGTAGGGTCATATATATTCTGATGGATTGAGTGCATTGCAATATACAGGATTGTTGAGATGTGGAAAGAGCTGCAGATTGAGGTGGACAAACTATCTAAGACCTGACTTGAAGAGGGGATTATTATCAGAATATGAAGAGAAGATGGTGATTGATTTGCATGCTCAGCTTGGCAATAGGTGCTTCTTCTCTCCCCCCCCAACTCCAGTCCCCCAACCATGATCAATAATAATATTCAAAAGTAGAAAAGCAAAATAAATAAAAATTCAAAAGATTGCTATTATGTGGTGTTTGAAGTTTGAGCACGACACTTCATTTTTATTTTTTTTTTAGCCCTCTCCCTTACTCATGAATCATGATCACATGCTTCTTCTGCATTGGCAATCAATTGGATTTTGCTCCAAAAAGAATATGAACATGTGGAGCTCAGTTGAAGTTTACTTGAGAGTGGCAGACAACACCATCCCTTCAGTTTCAGCACTCTTTTTCGACTCACTGTTATTTTTCTATATTATCATCACCCTCTTTTAATTTTCAGCCAATCCCTTCATTGTGCCGGTCCACCAGAAAGATATAGTAGCAGATTTCACCCGCTCTCTTTTTTCCTCGTTAATTTTGTTATTTCAGGACCAAAGGGGGACTTTTTTTCTAAGAAAATATATATTAATGCATTATCACTAATAATAATAATTGAAATGAACATTATGATAATTCTCTTCTCATTTTTCTGTATCCATCAGGTGGTCCAAGATAGCTTCTCATCTTCCTGGAAGGACTGATAATGAGATCAAGAACCACTGGAATACTCACATCAAGAAAAAGCTCAAGAAAATGGGGATTGATCCCGTCACTCACAAGCCACTAATTCCCTCCACAAATCTCCCTCCAACTTCTTCTTCTTCTGATGATGATGATGATGATCAAAACCAGGAAAATAATAACCAGTCAAAGAATGGTGAAGAAGAACAACACCAACCCGGAAAAACAGAGTTTCCGGGTTCAGATATTATTCCTATTACAATTGCGACGGAAATGGAGCTAGAAAACAAAGAATCGGAGACATCAATGCAGTCAACAATAACTACAGAGGCCAAAGAAGAAGACGACAAAAGCATTTCACCACCAACAATAAGCTCCTTTGACTCCATGCAAGTCAACAATGGCTTCTTGTTTTTGGACGATATCCCAATCATAAATCCTGAAGAAATCCTCGTACCATATGTCCAATGCCCATCATCATCTTTACAATCATCTTCCTCTTCGTCTTCACTGTCTTGTTATGATCAGGGTTCATTCAATCATGAATTCGGAGCCAATAATTTGCCAGCGAGATTCATGGACTGGCAATTATCTTCATCTCTTGAATTTGATGGTCATCATCAACAGAATTACCCTGTAAACGGCATGGATTTCTGGGACGATGGGTTCATCAGCAATTTGGATTTGTTGTTAAATAAATATGACACCAACACATCATTATTGGACGCTCTGGATCATGTTACTGAACCTTCTCCCACGCAGCAGTATCCAGGAATAGTCTTAGATGAAGGAGATTCTTGGAGATTTGATTTCCTGTGAATACTTATCATAGTATTTTTTTTTTTTTTTTTCTCTCCCCCTTTTTTCACTTCATAGTTCATATGTTGTTCGTGGTAAATTTCAATTTTTTTTTTCCAGTCAGCTGTCAATAGTGAAACGCGATAATAAAAAAAAAAGAAAAATACATAGTATATGTGTGGGTCAAAGGTACCCCTTGATCGATCCGGTTAATTTATTAAATCTTTGTACTTATGTTTTGTTCTCGAAGAGACAAAATTAAAGAATATCCTTTGTCAAATGAATGAATGAAGTGGTGTCCAGCATTTTGGAGTACAAACATGCAAAGTTCTAAAATCGTTTTCTCTTTTTTGGATTTAGCCACTACTTAATTTCATTATCAACTTTGGTGCACTTACGGTTCTAATATGTATAGTATACTTTTTCCTTTTTTTTTTGTTGAAGGAAATTAATCAGAGAAATTGTGGTATACATGTGGTTCGGGACATCGATCAATAACCACGACTTAGATGATTTGGTCCCTCGCAAAAATTAGATATCGCTTCTTCTTTTTTCTCCCTTAGTAAAAGAATTCAGGCGAAACAAGTGAAGCATGCATGTATATAACTTAGTACATACATGGCATGCATGAAGATAAATATTCGTATCATCGTTAATGTAATGGATCATAAAATTGATCATTTGAGTATCCATAGGTGTTTTTCGTTTAAGAATTAATTAAGGGGGAAAACAAAATGATCAATTTTTTCTGTAAAGATGTCCTGATATGGCACTTTACCAGCTACTACAGTACTGAATGTACGTTGGTCCTGAAATGATGCGACCACTTTTTAGGTAAAACAGATTACTTCCTCAGTTCCTCGTCCTCCAAAAAAAAAAAAAAAAAGAAAGTATTAATTGGTATTTTTGACGCATTTTTTTGGATTAAAATAATTTTGACGCATTGGCCGTGCTAAGCAATGACATTATGGCAACCTATAATCACGAGGGTTGTAAATCACACCGACAGTTCAAAGGCAAAAATATATCAGGTCAATCATTATTGAACCTCTTAATTCGTTTAATTTTTTTAAGGTAATATTACTATCCACAACAATGATAATTAATCACTTCGGTGAATCCTAAAAATCTTATAGTAAGAGATTGTAAGATCGTTTCATGCCGTGTCAGGTTTCAAACACTCGACTTAGTATATATAGTTAAGGATGGACGAGTCATTTCTACTCAGTTGTAAATCCTTCAAACAAAAATTTATTATCCATTGACTAAATCAAACTTGAAGGAGTTACTACGAAATGGAGAACAAAAGCAGTTAAAAGAGAGCAATCATCAACGTTAGAACATGACTCCAGCCAAAACTTGATGGAGAAAACTACGATAAATATATCTGATGTGGAACATTTAAAACTCGAATTTTAACGTAATGACAATAAAATTAAAATAAATTCAAAGAAGTGGGATTTGAACAACCTTGATCACGAAGTCATGGTTACGAAGTTAAAGTAACCACCACCACGTGAACTGCAGAACGACGACATGCATAATAGTTTATACCATTAAAAATTATTGGAAATCTTTACAACTTGTAAATAATTTTTGCTGAATTCACACCAATGGCTAAATCACCTGTCAATTCTGTTAGTTACGGTCTTACATTAATCAACGCAGAAAATTTACTTTGCGACAAATTAGATCACTTCAAAGTCGTAGAAAAATAACATAGTAGTTATAAGCTAAGTCTTATTATATCACAGGTTTTCCCTTGGAACCTATCCAGGTAAAACCCCCTTATGAATTAGCTAAAATAGTTTTCATTTTCCCCCTTGCACTTGGTAACATATACTACATTATTCAAAGATTTACCACGGCCAAAGTCCACGGAACACAACAATAAAAGAAAGCAACACATAATATATCGCATAACGCGGCTACAGCCAAGAGATGAGGCGACAAGTCAACTCGTTCATCATTAAGACAAGAACAAAACAACATTAAAACTCACGACATTTTTTAACTAGTAGTAGTAGAAAGGGATAGAGTTGAAAACAAACGAAATTCTACTCTAGTGAAGTGAAGAAAGTAAAAAAAGATTGACCAAGTATATGGAAGTTCAAAGCGGAACTGAAAAGACACAATTCATGTTTTGGGGAATCATTTGTACACATCCCGGAGATGTACTGTATATCCTCAATGTGAAAATGTGAAGATGCCTGGCCTGACTTGTACATCCCGCGTTATGCCCACCAAGTTCTCACTTGTACTGTACATCTTTCAACATATAGAATTAGTCCACATTTTCCACTCTCTGTCTTTTCCTTGTTATTTCATGCAACTTAATTAACAAAATACTATGTTAAGAGTTAGTTGTCCCACATAGCCCGTATTAAGAAACATGGATCTGTAGATAAGTTCCAAAAGCCACCCTACTTGTTATTAATTGGTTTTGAGATTCGAGATCAAACTACTTTAATATACTTTGACAAAAAATTCTCTCTCTTTCTAATGTTTCTAATGTTTTTCCATTTTTAAAAAAACGAAAAATGTTTTCCTCCTTTTTTTAATTATGTTACCAATTCTATTAGACACTTTTGAAGAGTATAATGATTGAAGCCCGTTAGCGGGCTCTAATTCATATGAACTGGTAATCTGGAAAATAATATATCCATTAAAAAAAAGAGCGCACAATAAAATGAAATATTGGTTGTGATCATGTATAACAAGATATAATTATTATCTAGCTATTTGTTGGCAGTAGAGTTTGATTAGTTTATTTTATTTTTTTTCATAAGTATTTTCTTATTTCGCTTGGTGTCTCACACTTGGTTTAATTTTCAAGATTAGCTAACACAAAGGGGCGAGGGCAAAGACTTTTATATCGCTAACAGACCGTTGTGTTTAAATTTCTGCTCCCTCGCAGTTCATTTAGATTTCGTCGTTCCAAATACAGAAAAGTAATGCCCCTTGAAGTTGATTAATGTCTTTTTTTACATACATGCTTGTTAATTATTTATTTATATGAAAAGGATGTAGAACGAATATCGCTGTGAAATGAGTTTGTATCCCGACAGATATAAACTGATTGCGCCATAGCTGCTATGGTGACCAATAATCATTAATAGTTTGTGCTTCAAGATCTTCCGGGTTTCTTAACTAATTAAGCAATGGCGTGGCAACTTAGGGTTAAACGAGGATTTATGTTGGCAGTCAAATTTCTGCATACAGTAATTAAGTAATCATTTAACTTGTCTTTAGACATGCTTTACTCACATTGAGTAACTTTAAAAGCATCACCAATTAATTAGGACTTTTCGAGCAATACATATCAACTTCACGCCACTCTCTTTCTGCATCTCTATATATATTCTGATAGATGTAGACATTTTGTTGTGATGATATTTGTACATTATGTATGTATATATCTATTATCTATTTCCATCTCAAAATAATTGTAATATATTTAATATAATGATTTGTACGGAGAAAGTGTGGTAGTATTGTTAGCTAGTGTTCGCAATTACATTCTTGTTTCCCTTGTTTTGAATAATTATGACATTATTCATTATTAGTTATATTTTATGTAGTCTCTTTGCAGATTGATTTATAGATTATAGATACGTTGCATTTCCATTATCATGGAAAAAAAAATTGAAAAATAGCATCTAGAATACTTCAAGAAAGAGGCACCTAAATTTGACAATATGTTCTTGTTTGTTCGTGCGAAAATACCGACAGAAGCGCACAAATATTCGACTATTAATTTTTATTTTTTTATTTTGGTATTGTAACAGAACACTTTATTACTATATAATCATTTCCAGAAAATACCAAAAAAAGTATTTATACTTCACAGATATTATTAATTAATACTAATATAATACAAAACAGGTCAAAGTCAACACTCTCATAGCTAGATTCCCTCCAATTGGCTATAGAATGGTGACGTGGATATATGAATCAGAGAGGTGTGCTCCGAAATAAATACTAAAGGCACGTGTCCTAAGTTCCTTTTTCTGTCTATAGCTGACAAGCCCGAATTTGTAGTGATCGATTTTTTGACTTTCCTTTTCCTTTGGGAATAATAAAGTTCTTTTTGTTTTCAAAAGAAATGGGAAGTACCACCAAATTTATTGAAAGTCGAATCTAAATATATTTTTCTTTTTTTAAATAAAATAGTACTTTCATTCATTTACTGAAAATCGTCCAACTGCGATTGATTGATACAAAGAAACAGTCAACACACTTACAATGTATCACTTTGTTGTGTTTACCGTAGATAAACCTATACAGATCTACCCATATATTGACGGACATATCACGCGCCAGAGTTTGAATCTGATCTCGAATATATCTCTTAAATTCTGTTGAAAACTCCAAACCACATATCTAAATTTTAGATCTGCAGTGACTGATTTTCCATGGGGCATATATAACGTTGCGAACATATTCAACGCTGCTATGAACACTGCAAAACAGATTTACCTCTCAATAGAGCAACCTACTGAAAAAAACACTACGAACAAGAAAACCCTACCCTCTCAAAAGATTATCTAAATAATCTATTAAAAGAATTAATTTGTGAGAATAACCTCACTTATTAAATGCTAAATAACAAAACAAAAAACGACTAAACAAATTTAATTCTCAGGAAGAAATTTTTTTTTTTGGAGTTGGAGTTTGAGAGAGAGAGAGGGGAGAGGGGCGGCTGCTAGATAAATATACTTTTCTAGTTTTATACATCGTGTCTTATTAGTTTACATTTATCGTGATTATATATTAATAATTATTATTCTCCCAATTTTAAGATGGTTCATGGTTGAATATATTAATCGTGTGTGTGTGTGTGTGTGGCTATAGCTCTTATACCTTGTAGGCTCGTACAGATATTTCTCCATTGACACGTAGTTTTGCATGTGAAACAAATTAATGTGGCCAGCATATGATTTATGAAGCCTTCGTTCAGGAAAGGAAACATATAAGTACGGCCTGATGTAGCGATTTGCAACCATTAAAACATGAGTTTTTTTTGTTTCTGCCAAAAAGATATGCTGCAGTCAAACATTTCGCTCCGCCGATCCATGAACTCCATGAGAATTACAAATGAATTTAAGGCACGGCGATATGATTTCCTTGAATGTACTCTTCTCACAGTTTTTTTTTTTTTCTGAGACAAAGAAATATATGTGTTATTATATGAATAGGAAAGGTGGTATTATTCCCAAAACAGACTAGTACTATTTCTGTATCATGTCACACTTACTAATTCCCGTATAATTCTTTCCGTCAGTGTCTTTATTTCCTCTTCATATACACACAGGAAGGGTGCA